AATAATTTTTGTATAGATAGAAGGTAAAGTTCCTTTTGGATTAAAAGAAATGGCAAAAGGAAATATGTTTGAAGTTGGAAATGTAAGTAAAAGAGTATTGATGAATTAGTTTTTATTTGAAAAAGATTTTTATGACAAAATAATTACCTTAACATGAATAGAAACACAGTTTCTTAAGTATTTATAATTATAAATAAGAAAGTGATATGATATATAAATTAGTATGCATTACAATTATTGTTAGAAAATTTACATTCTGTTCTATTAAATTTTGCTGGAACCAATACATAAGGTATCTATGAGTATTTATATCGTTTATCAGCTTTTCAGGTGTTTTTTACATTCCAGTTTTAAAATGTCACATATTGTAATTTTTTATATAGAAGTATTTGAATTATTTTGTAATAAGCTGAAAATATTTTAAAAGTGATAGATGATCAGCTGAATAGAAAAATACAATGTGACTGTTTCAGTTATCTTTTACAATACAAGGTCTGTTCCAGAAATCTCGCAAACTTTGCAAATAGAAGTTGTTTGCATTTATCTAGAAGCTATTCAGTTTTGTTGCCTTTGAAGTAGTCTCTTCTTAAATCTATGCACTGAACCCAGTGTTTCTGACATGAAAGGAACACTTCCTGAAATGCTTCTTTTAAGATGATGCACAGCTGTACTAGTGAATTTTTCTTAATGGCATCAATGGATTCAAAACATTGACTTTTGAGAGTGGATTTAATGTGGAAAACAAAAAAGAAGTATGCTGGGCTTAGTTCAATGAATATGGAAATTGGGAAACAAATAATTTTGAGTTCTTGGCCAAAAACGCTATTATCAGCAGTAATATTTGGATGGGTGCATTGTCCCAATATCTTTCTCTCCAAGCAGTTAGTCTTTTCTTCCTCACTGCTTTATAAAGGACATGTCATCATCTCCAGGTAGTATTCATGGCAAATAACACCTTCAGAATCAAACAAAACAGTGAATAAGACCTTCACATTCAACTGAACTTGTGTCTTTTGGGTCATGGTGAAAATTTTTCATCCATTGTGACATTTTATTTCTACATTGTACCCATAGACCCCAAGACATGAGTCTATGGGTACAATGTTGATATGTATGACATGTGATGATGTCTTTCATGAAATTTTCATTAGATCTGATTCATCTGAGAAGCTTTTCACTTGCATTCACTGAAAGAAAATTTCAGCACATGTTCAACATGTGTTTATGTGAATGAATGTAACACAACAACAGATGAAGATAGAGCAAACTGCTTTCAGCAGATAGTACACAAAATTTATTGCTAGAGAGCTGTGCAAGCTACATTCAAATTCAGTTATCAGTCAGTGTGTAATTTAAAAAGTTTATGAACTTTCCGGAAAACCTTGTATATTGAATAAAAAACTTTTTCAAATTATTAATTATTCTTGCGTTTATAATCTTCATTACATCTTAATTTAAATAATTTACAAATAAATAAGTAGTATTCAATATTAATAAAATGTTTAAAATATAAAAAGCAGAGATTATCACTGTATATCTTCACTGATACCTTAATGCATACAATAAATAAAACAATTATCAGTGACATTGAATTTTCTATTTCTGTGAAAAGATTCCTTCAATCCTAAAACTATGTAATGAAGTAAAAATTTCTTTATTGAAATGCTTTTATCTCAAATGATATTTAGGAAATTACATTCTAAAAGAACGAATGCCTAATACCCCGTTCACACCTAGCATTTCGATCTAGACTGTGACCAAGTTCGGCAACTATGCCTTGGATTGAAATGAGGTACAATCGCAATCGACTCTAGAGTTCTTGAAACTAGATCCAGTTAAGAGAGATCCCACAATCCCACGTGCGCAAGAAAATGCAGGATGGCTGCAGAACACGTGTAGGTCTACCGACAGAGAAATAAAAAAGAAACTGTATTTGGAGATGATTACATCTGTCTATTATTAGATATATGGCAAGAAAAAGTACTGTATTTATTTCTAACCAAAACTTCCATTTTGTTTGTTGGTGTTTGTGACTTACCGCGTAGTTATATCAGTTTTATCATTGCGTTAATAGCCATGTTTTTCTCAAGTGGACTGCCTGTGCGAACAGCATGACGTTTGACTGGCAACAGTCTCAATCCAGATTGTAGGTAAATTGAGATTGAAGTGAGTCGTGGATTGTGTGCGAATGTAGTATAACAGTTTTTCTACAAATTTGATTTATGGAATGCATTTGATGAAACAAATTTTGATTTCTAAAGCTCATTTCAATAATAAATAAATACATACATAAGTAAAATTATTTGTATATATGCGTTTATTTATTTATTTAATAACTGATGTATTTTAGTTATTGAGTTATTTATTTATTATTGATATGAGCTTTAAAAATCAAAATTTGTTTTATCAAATGCATGCCATAAATCAAATATGTTCTAGAGAAACTGTTAGGCATTTGTTCTTTTAGAATGTAATTTCATGAAGTAGATTGTTTAAGGAGACTGAAAATATAGATATACTAGCTGTTACCCGCGACTTCGTCAGCGGAGGTTTTGCAAGCAAACCCCATTTACATCCAATATTTCAATAACCATAGTAATTGTTATATAACACCTACCGCTGAAGAGAATTGCCGAAAATCAAACGAACTATTTTCAATTTGATCAATTTTCTGAAACGTTTACAATCGTTCTATAATCGAACCAATACGCAATAACAAATTCGAATTTAAAACGGTTCGAACATTTTTAAAATTGAAATATATAAAAATATTTAAACAATGTCTGAAATGTGATCAATTTAATACACCTAAGTACTCGATGAAGACTAAACGTAGTTGAAAACAAAAAATCGCATCTAAAATAGTACAGTAGAAGCCATTCTTCCGGTTAAGCTTAATCCTCTCCCTCTCCCCCCGCGGGAGAATTTAGAAAAATCCCTTCTTAGTGTCCATTCTCATGGCATACCCTACTAAAACGCATACAATACGAATACGAAATAACAAATTCGAATTTAAAACGGTTCGAACATTTTTAAAATCGAAATGGATAAAAATATTTATAACAATGTCTGAAATGTTATTAATTTAATACACCTAAGTACTCGATGAAAACTATATTCTCTCCCTCACCCCCCGCGGGGAAATTTCTAAAAATCCCTTCTTAGTGTACATTCTCATGGCATACCCTACTACAACGCAGATAAAAACAAAAAATCGCATCTAAAATAGCGCAGTAGAAGCCGTTCTTCCGGTTAAGCCTTAATGCTCTCCCTCACCCCCCGCGGGGAAATTTCAAAAAATCCCTTCTTAGTATGCATTCTCATGGCATACCCTACTACAACACAGATAAAAACAAAAAAATCGCATCTAAAATAGTACAGTGGAAGCCGTTCTTCCGGTTAAGACTTAATGCTCTTCCTCACCCCCCGCGGGGGACTTTCTAAAAATCTCTTCTTAGTGTGCATTGCCATGGCATTCACTACTAAAACGCAGATAAAAACAAAAAATCGCATCTAAAATAGCGCAGTAGAAGCCGTTCTTCCGGTTAAGCCTTAATGCTCTCCCTCACCCCCCGCGGGGAAATTTCAAAAAATCCCTTCTTAGTATGCATTCTCATGGCATACCCTACTACAACACAGATAAAAACAAAAAAATCGCATCTAAAATAGTACAGTAGAAGCCGTTTTTCCGGTTAAGACTTAATCCTCTCCCTCTCCCCCCCGCGTTGGAATTTCGAAAAATCCTTTCTTAGTGTGCGTTTCCATGACGTACCCTAACTGTGTACCAAGTTTCACCTGTTTAGGTTAAGCGGTTTGCTCTGGGCGATGATGAATCAGTGAATGAATGAATGAGTCAGTCAGGACAAGCAATTTTATATATTTAGATTTGATGATGATTCAGGATATCTTTTATTTGAAGTTAAGACCATTTACAAAAAATAAAATATTTTTGAATCTTTTCTTTTACACAATCTCAGAAGTAACAGTTAAATTGGCTTGAAGAAAAAACTTCATTAAAATGACAAATAATAATAGTTAATAAAATTCATACAAAGTTAAAATTGATATCAAATGTCAGTCTTTTATTAGAGGATCTGATGTTTTTCACATTAATGTAACCTTTGTTTTTAATGTGAAAAATGTCAGATCCTCTAATAAAAGACTGACATTTGATATCAATTTTAACTTTGTATGAATTTTATTAACTATTATTATTTGTCATTTTAATGAAGTTTTTTCTTCAAGCTAATTTAATTGTTACTTCTGTGGTTGGGTAAAGGATAAAGAAAAGACTGAAAAATATTTTATTTTTTGTAAATGGTCTTAACTTCAAAAATCAAAGAGACTGAAAATATTTGAATAAAGAAATTTTTACTTCATTAGCTGGACTGATAGTTATACAAGTGCAGTTCTTGTAGGAATAATAAATTGAAAAGATTCTTAATAGTTTTAAACTTGTTTTTTTAATTATTAAAATTAGCTGTGCTATCCTAATACTTTGATTATTGATCTTAATTTAACTGTCTGTAGAACACTAGAACTATATTACTTTTGGTAATTTCTATATTTTAAACTTTAATGAAATAGATTTTTTTTGGACTGTACTTAAAAGACTGAAAAGTATTAAGTATTCCATACCATATAAATTTTGATTTTAATTTTTCCATATCTACAGAGATATAAATTTTGATTTTAATTTTTCCTTATCTACAGAGATATAATGCTTTTTCTAATCATTATGTCCTGTGTAATGGAATAATTAAAGTTAGATAAATCTAATGTGATAAAAGTCAAAATTTAATTAGAATGATATGCAAGTAAATAAACTAAAGAGAAATACCGAATTGAATGTTAGGATTGAATCTTAGACAAGCTAAAATAAAATTATTGCTACTATTAAATTAAATTTTATTTTGAATTTTTGCTATGAAAATCGTGTTATTAGTTTTAAACTTTGCACAAGTTAAATAGATGGTTTTTGTTAAATTATATTTATTTTTTCAGATAACAGATGTTAAAGTTTCAAGTGTTTCAGATAAAGGCTTGGATGTCATAGTTTTGTCTCATAATATACCTGCATTTCTTCCAGTAAATCATCTGTCAGATAATCCTGCTAATTGCAAATATTTGCTTCATGCATATGAAATTGATGAAATAATAAAAGATGCAGTGTGTTTTTCTACTCGAGGAGTATTGGTATCCTTTACAAAGATTTGTGTAACTTATCTTGTTGGTTTCAAGCAGGCAGTATAACATGTTTAATGATATTTTACTAAAACTATTTTTATTGGTGTTTTATTTTGCAACTTAATATAGAAATCATTGAAATATTAATTATCATTTGATATTATTAATCGCTAATAAAATATTTCTGAGAAGAAATGGATTTCAGAGTTGGAGGATAAATACAATGACCAGGAAGTATGGAATTTCTGTAAAAGAATACAGGAACAGAAGAAAGGTTTTCTGCCTCATACTATGCTTTGCAAAGATAAAGATGGAAATCTTATAGAAAGAGAAAGACAGATTTTGAATTGGTGGACTGAATATTTTAGTGAACTGCTGAACACTAGTGCAGAGACTATAACACCAGCACAAGATGAAACTGACAGTTAAGGTCCTGAAGAATAATAGGGCACTGGGAAGCAGTAATATTGCAGCAGAAATGATTAAGTATGGGAGTCAACTGTTGATGCTGCTTGTTCACCAATTGATAGTGGAAGTATGGGAAAAGGAAGAGATGCTGGATCAGTGGAGGCTGGCCATTGTGTGCCCGATTCATTAAGAAGGGGGACAGAGCAATATGTGAAAACTATCATGATATATCTTTACTTAGTACTGTTTATAAGGTCTTAACCAAAGTTATGGTGAGGAGGCTCACTCCACTAGTAGAAGAGAGACTGGATGACTACCAGTGTGGATTTAGTAAGGTAGATTAATGACAGATCACATCTTCACTATAAAGCAAATAATGGGAAAGTGCTATGAGTTTAATGTGGATTTTCAGCAGGTTTACAACTATGTAAAAAGGAGGTCCTTGATCAGGCTTTGATAGATATGGATTTTCCATCTAAATTAATCAGATTGGTGCAAATGACTCACCAGCATGAATTGTCAAGTCAATGTAGAGGTTAACCTCACTAAAGTAGTTGAAATTAATCAAGGTTTGTGGCAGGATGATGTGTTATCCACACTGCTGTTTAATGTAGAGAGTGATGAGAGGGGTGGAAGGCAGTTCACCAACTGGCAATCTGTTCAACTGTGTTAGCCAAAATTTAGCTTATGCTGATGATGTTGGTATGCTGTCATGTAGCCTGGGAGAGCTGGAGGAAGGATTGTGTAGATTGGAAAGTGAAGTGGATGAATTGGGGCTTCGTGTGAACCACAGTAAAATGCAATACTTGCTTTTGTCTAGGAAAGTTGCTGCAAGGGAAGACAAATATATCCATGTTAGATGGTGTCAACTATGTGAAATGTGAGAAATTCAAGTACCTAGGAGTACTGGTAACTAGTGATAAAAACTCAAAAGAAGAGATAAAGGTAAGGATTGCAGTGGGAAATAGAGCTTACTGGGTCCTAATTAGAATTCTTAAATCTCGTAGCTTACGTAGAAGATTGAAGATGGCTGTTTATAGCACAGTCATTAAAGTGGTGGTAATGTATGGTTCAGAAACATGGACAATGACTGTGGCTGTGAAGGAACTTTTGAGAAGATGGGAGAGGAAAGTTCTAAGAAAGAAATTTGGGGCAGTGTGTGAGGAAGAGCAATGGAGGATGCAGAAATACAGTGAATTGGTAGAACTGCATGGTTATACTGATATAGTTGTGGAAATAAGGAGTAACAGACTGAGATGGTTGGGCATGTTGAGCGAATGCCAGATGATAGAGCTGCCAAGATCTATAGAGGAAATCTGGGTGGCAGGAGATGTAGAAGAAGACCATGGAAGAGATAGCTGGATGATTTGAGGAAGATGGGGGGGTTGGTGATTGGAGGAAGCATGCAGAAGATCATCAAGATTGGGCTGTGGTTGTCAGAGGCCAAGACCCTACATGGGCTGCAATGGCTAGTAGTAGTAGTAGTGGTAGTTATAAAATATTTCTGCTTTAATAGAACTATTTATGAATATTGATCCATTTTTAAAATACAGTAGCATATGAATCTGTTACTTGATTATTTAGAATATTTGGTAATCTGGCACCTTGTTGAAAGTAGCTGATAATCCAGTTGTTTTTCAAAGGATACTACTTTCTGAATCAATTGTATCAACTTCATCTCAAGAATAGTGTGCCCACCATTTCTCCAAAATTTTGTTTGTTATTATATACCTGTATATATATACTGTAGAGTGCCGTTTATCCGAATCAATTGGGGACTGAGGTTGTCCGGATAACTTATTTTTCAGATAATTGATTATATACGAAAAAATATATTAACCTATCCCGTGTTGAAATTTTTCTTTGTTGCATGTCACTTCACGTTGAATTTTCGTCGATGTTAAGCCTAACGTATACTTTTTAAAATAATACTTGTGTCTATTGTATCATTAAAAATTATTTTTTTATTTCTTACAAACAAAATAAATATATTGAAACAGATAAAAACCAAAAAATATATACTTTAGAAAATGATCTAGTATCAAAAACATTCGATTCAGCATGACACACAATCCTCAGAAAAACACCACACAAAAGTTCCAGTGCTGCCAGCTAAAAAAAATACACACCAACAAAAAAAAAAATATTAGAGTAGCCAAAGATTGCAGCGCCACAGCACTAGCAAAAATTTAAACTTGCCGACTGGAATGCTTTTGGATAACCGATGCCGTGTGTGTGTGTGTATATATATACAGGAGGATAATTCAAGATAATGTATATATATATATATATATATATATACATTATCTTGAATTATTATTAACATTATATTTTAATTTTAAGCTAATAATGTATTCTCTTTATAAGTTGGAAATTTTATTGTATTTTATTTCCCTTTTTTTGTTTTGTCCAGTTATTCATCAAACAATTGTCAGCTATCAGATAAGATATAGTCCTTTGCATTCATCTCTTGAAGATGTGTGTGTGAATGCAATACCGGGATTGTTTATGTTTATCAAGAAATGTTGTAAAGGAATTTTGCTTATTTTTATGATTTTAGGGATCCCCCTTCTAAATTTTTAAAAATAATTAAGAGAAACAAATTAGAATAAAAAAGTTATCAATTATTATAAATCTCTTAACATTTGGAGGAAAAGATGAAGGGGGATGATCATCATTTTCCCCCTTTTTCAATTGTGTTGGGTGACAGATGTTACTCTATCCAGATCATGTGGATGAATATAATTCATAATAGACATGAGAGAATGAGGACTAAAGAATAACCAATTGTGCTTATCTTTCATTACTTCAATATCCTCCAGAATAAAATCATGATTGGTCAAAAAGAATAAAAGAAAAGGGTAAAAAGATGAAAATCAGGCAAAAAGTGAAAGCAGAAAGTGAGAGAGAAAGACAGGGGAAGGGGGAAATGAAGAAAGAGAGATAGAAAAAAAGAGAGTGAACACAACATCCAGAAAGAAAGTCAATTCTGAGAAAGGAGGACTGGCACAACCAGAGAGAGTGTTAAATTTGGAGGAAATAGTCAGCAAAAAGCGAGGGATAAGGAAAAGAAAAGTGCAAAAGGAACCAAAAAGGAGATAGAAGGTCTTTGAAGAGAAGACAACTCTCTTCCTGGTATGTTGTGAGTCTCAAAGTTTTGAATACCTCCGTTAAGTGCCTCTCAGTTTTACATTTACCGTCTAGAGGCTCATTTCTGGACTTTGGAGTGACTCTTACCCTTGCATCTTACATATCTGCCTTTTCTTTTTCAGTCTAAATTGGAGGTGTGTCTGATAATGTGGCACCTAGTGGCAGGATCCTACCTTAAACTCTCAGAACTCAATGTTTGACAGCCCCAAGTCCCCACAATAGTTAAGAGGTCCTCAAAGTGTAATTTTGTAAAATATACAAGCTTGTATTGTGCTGAACAAGTATTACTTTGTTAGACCATGTGTTTTGTGTTCAGTAACATATACAGTTTTATATATGTTACTGAACACAACACACACACACTTATATATACATAATATAATAATATATAATACATGTCAGAAAGTAAAAATTATATATATGCGAATATTAATTTTGTGCAATAATGTGTTCATTAACACATTTGCATGTTTTTCATCTTAATGCAGCATAGTCATGCACTGTTGTCTTCAGACAGACTGATTAAAGAGCATGATAGATTAAGATATGTAAAAATCTTTTATATGATTGTCTTTAATCAAAATATAGATTGTTAGTAAAAAAAGTTGTTTTATTCAAGAAGCAAAATCAAATAAAGTAGCTAAACAGTTCTCAGATTTTGAAGTAAGTATTTCAACAAGAAATTTAAATTATGCTTTATGAAAAACATATTGAAGTTTATTTAAATATTAATGTTAATAATAACAATTATTTATTCTTTTTATCTTAGGAAGGAATAATTGTACCTGCTATAGTAAAAGGTTTTGCTACATTTGGAATGTTTATAGAAACATTTAATAATGTAGTAGGACTAGTGCCTCTTAAGGTAATATTTTTAAAATAATATACTTTCTCATTAATAATGATATAAAATGATTATTTAAACTATATATAATGTTAATATTTAGAGGATGCTTAATGAAAAAGTGGAAGAAGCTTCTAAAGCAGGATATGTTATACATCAGTCTATAATGGCAAAAGTAATTACTCTTGATAAAACAAAAGAGAGAATTGTTTTTTCTACAAAACTCAACAATTGCTATTTAGGAAATACTGAACCAAGTTTAGATATATTGGAAAATTATTTGAATGAATGGATGAAAATAAAAGAGTATTACAAAAAACAAACAGGTAATAATTAAAATGTATACGTAGTTTTTTAGAACAAATTTTTTATAAAATGTTTTCAAGTTTTTTTAACTAAATAAAACTAAAAACTTGTGATTCTATTGAAAATTCTACCTGTATAAACTGAAAATCAATTCTTTTTTAAAAAGTTTAGGAAATTTACATTGATTTCTATAAATTAAGAAAGAAAATAAATTTTGAAGATGTCTTAAAGTTTAAGCATTTGCAAAAAAATAATAATAAAATTTATTGAAATATATCTTCAAGCATGTTTTTCAATCACACTCTTAAAAATATATTCTTAAACCAATGATGGGCAACCTTTTCTGGATGTGGGCCACGGTGAACTTTGTATGTAAACATTTAGTGTACTGCATGCATTTTTTATTATGGCATTGCATAATTTAAGCCTGTTGAATACCATCTTATTATTACAGTAGATACTAAAATAATATATGCTAATGATATGCCGACTAGTAACCATATAGTTTATTTTCATTGTTTCACTGTTTAAGTTCCATTTGAATGCTTGCCAGGAATATCAAAATAATTAGAATTGCATAATGACATGAGACAGAAAACAGGAAATTAAAATTACATTGACAAAGCCCTAGAAGCCACAAACTAGGACTTCAAGAACTGTATATGAGCTATGGGTTGCTCATGACTGATTTAAACAATATCTACAATATCTATAGTTAAAAACAAATAATTAAAAATTTATGAATATAGAATGAATACTGAATGTCTTCATTTTTCACAAAAATATATCTTGCATTGTGTTTTATGCTGGTTAGGATTGTTTAGAACACAGGTTCTCAAACTTATTTCAACCACCGCCCACTTTTGAGATTAAAAAAAAAATCTAGTGCCCCCATATTTTTTAACTTACCTTTTTACGTTACCATCTGTTGCACATCTTAAAAACAATTATTACAAATATGTTTAAACATGCATTATTATATGGATAGGATAGATAGGGTGTGACCCATATCCTATTTCTGAAATCAAAGAATGTTTCAATGAGAAGAAATAAAACTATATTTAATCACTGAGCTTTCTACTGCTCCCTGAAAGCCTCCAGCCCCCACAATGGGGTGTTATTGCCCACTTTGAGAAAGGATGATCTAGAAAATCTCTTAACAATAGCAATAATGACTACTGTTTTATCAAATCTCTTTCACATTGCTATATATTTGAAATTGAAGATTTGAGAGTAGTAATAAATCTCAATATGGCATCTGTATTAATCTCAGTAAGATTCAGATAAAATAACTGTGTTCTAGTTTAGTAATTTAAGCAGTTGATACTGTTCTTATTCCTTTGACCAAATAAAATTGAGGAAATTCTATTTATTATCAATACCATAAATCTCTACAAACTGATTTAGGATGTAATTATTATGTTTTTAAACATTCAAGGAATTATAAATAGCATAAAAAATTTTTCACAATCATTCAAAAAATGTCTGTAAACCATAATCATCAGAATAAGTTACAATATGAGTTATGATACAGAACATATGAGTTACAATATGTTACACTACATTAATTATTTTATCTTTATATACAATCTTTAATTTGCATAACTAATTTTACAATTATAGATTTCAACTCTTCAGATAAAATTCTTTTAAATTAAGATACAAAGATTAAAATTATTAACTTTATACACAAGGAAATGGAATAAGTGTAAATTTTAAAATTCAATCATTAAAAAGATAAGGTGGTGTATATAATATTATAAAAATACAAGGGTAGTCCCAGAAGTACCCGACCTAACAAAGAAGACACAAAAAATTTGGTAAAACATCTCTCTATTTTTCAACATAGTCTCCTTTTAGCTCGATACACTTTTTCCAACAATGTACAATACCTTCGATCCCCTGTTTATAGTGAGAACTGTCGAGCTTCTCAAAATAGCCATCAACTGCAGACTCCACTTCTTCATTGTTGGCAAATCTTTTATCACCAAGCCATTTTTTTAAGTTTGGAAAGAGAAAACAATCCGAGGGGGCTAAATCTGGCTAATAGGGTGCGTGAGGAAGCAATTTGAACCTTAACTCATTGATTTTGGCCATCGCAATAACGGATGTGTGAACTGGTGTGTTGTCTTGATGAAACAACACTTACTTTTTCGCCAAATGTGGCCGTTTTTTCTTGATTTCATCACTCAAGCGCTGCAATAAGTTTGCGTAATACTTGCTGTTGTTTGTTTTTCCTGGGTGCATCCCAAAAAACTGACGCCATGACCTTGCCAGCAGATGGAACTGTTTTCGCCTTCTTTGGAGCTGATTCTCCCCTTTTAGTCCATTGTTTCGACTGTTCTTTCATCTCAGGTGTGAAGTGATGGACCCATGTTTCATCCATGGTTATGAATTGACGCAAAAACTTGGCTTTGTTGCTGTGAAACATTGCCAAAGACTCGATTCAAACATCCTCACGACGCTGTTTTTGTCTCATCGTTAGCAAATGCAGCACCCATCTTGCGCACAGCTTTCTCATGTCCAAATTTTCAGTTAAAATGCGATGTACAGCACTTTTTGAAATGCTTACCATGTCTGTTAGCTCTTACACTTTGAGTCGACTGTCATCCAATACTATTTTGTGGATTTTTTCCACCTCTTCTGGCATGGTCACCTCACTTGGTCGACCACTATGATGTTCGTCTTGGCAGCTCGTACGGCCTCGTTTAAACTCTGCCACCCAATATTTTATTGTTGTAAACGAGGGAGCAGACTTCCCAGAGTAGAATCTAGCTCAGCTTTAATATTGGTTGGACTGAAACCTTTCAAATGAAAGTATTGTATCACATAATGATGACAAATTTTTTCCATGTTTACAAATTCACTGAGATTGTTCATTATTCACGGCTGCCAAAAAATACTATACAACGTAACGTCTTCAAACTTAAGCTTTATAAGGTTAATACTTTCGAACACAGTCGTTTTTTTTTTTTCAAACAAGTACCGCCATCTTTGTCAGGTCGGGTACTTCTGGGACGACCCTCGTACCAAATTCTAAAATAATGTTTTAATTTGACATTAAAAGTACCTATGTGAAATTCAATGTTTTGTGTACTGTATAGCTAAGGTCTGTCCCAAAAGTTTAGGTAAAATGAGTTTTCATGAAGAACTTTTAAAATACTGAACATTCGACTGATTTAATAAGTGAAATGAGATCACATCACATCAAATATAAAAGATAAACTGAGGAAACAGGCGAAGTATTGTTGCATTTTTTCCATTTAACTGTACTTCAACAACTTTAAGCAATGTAGTAGTAATTTAGTATCTTAATAGATTTTTCAGAATTTTAATCAAATATGTTTAATAATTATTTATAGATGTCTTTTATATAATTTAAATAAATTTATGTAAGGATAGAATTAATTAACTATTAGATGAAGATGAAACAATATGACCAAAATATATATTCAATATTGTAGTATTTTTAGATTTTTAGCAATCCTTTACATAAATTTTTAAATTGTAATCTTACAGTATAGAGATAGTGGAATCTGCATCTACAATTTCAATGTCCTATCACTCTAGTTATTGCACCAAAATCTTTAAATCAACTTTTTCTAAATCTATATGAATCATATAGATCTAAAGGCAATCAATTTAGAATGTTTAAATGGTGTAATTGATTAACTAATGATTTTAGAAAATAATTTTTGAATTGGATATTGTAGGTTTAAACTACAATTTCTACAATTTCATAATTAGAGTTTTTTGTATTTGTGATAAATCTCCATATTTGCCTTCACTGCCTTCCTATCTCTGTACTCATATATATATATTTTTTGAAGATATTCAAGTATTAAAGTTTTATTTCATTGTAAAGGAATGAAAAAAAAGTTGGCAAAATTGGAAATAGGACAAGTGGTAAATGTTACAATAACTGAAATTACTGATATAGGAGTTTTATGTAAAGTACAGAATGATCTTCCTGGAGTAGTTATCAAAGAACATTTGGGAGGTAAATTTTATATTTTTAAATAATAGTTTTAGAATAACTTATATTAATGATCAATTAATAAGGTCAGATTAACTGTCAGACTAGAATATGGTTAATTAATTTCATGGATATTATGTAATTTGGACTAGTGTTTGGCAGTTATATTGTCATTTATGATCAATACAAAACCTTCCTCACTTATTTCTAGCCGTTTATACATGAGTATGAATGTTTTCGGCCTTCTTAATAGGCCTTCTTCAGGTACACTGTGATCTGTTAGAGCTTCGGTTGATAGAAGTTTAAACGCTGCCAATGTTTATCTAGGCATCGTCTTACCAGTGACATCATCGCTGATGATAGGTATAGAAGATACCGAGGGCAAAAAATTCTTTCTTTTGGTAAAAAAGGGAGGTGTGCAGATAGTTCATGGTGGTATACACTCGCTAAACTTGGGGAATAAACTTTAGCGAGTATCCCATCATGAACTATCTGCACACTTCCCTTTTTTACCAAAAGAAAGAATTTTCGCCCTCGGTATTGTCTATACCTATCATCAGCGATGATGCCACTGGTAAGACGATGCCTAGATAAACATTGGCAGCGTTTAAACTTCTACCAACCGACGCTCTAACAGATCACAGTGTACCTGAAGAAGGCCGAAAACATTCATACTCATGTATAAACGGCTAGAAATAAGTGAGGAAGGTTTTGTATTGATCATCTTAAAATAATTCTAGCTACAAATGCATAGAAATTGTCATATATATTAAATTTAATTAGCATGATGAGTGATCTGTATAATTATATGTCAGATTAAATAGTCTGGAAACAAAAATCAGGCAGAAGTCTGGCTAGTGTAATTTGCAAAGTATATGTACTGAAAGCAGAAGTTATAGATTTGAGTCCAGCTGCAGACCAATTTTTTTCCAGAATAGTGTAAATTAAATAATTTCATTATTAAATTTAGTACAAAATGATGGCATAACTGCTTAATTTTAGAAATTAAGTAATATCTATGAATTTAATTTAGTCAGGCTTTGGTCAGATAGTTAATCTATCATTATCATTTATCATTAGAATAATTTAAGCTTAGTTGTCTGCATGTATTTATAACTTATTCCAAATTTTAAAAGTATATGCTTAATTATATAATCATTACATTTGCACTGTTTTTGAACAAAAAAATTTCAAATTTTTAATTGCTAAAGTTAAATGTTTAATTTGAAAAACCATCTCTATAAAAAAGTCCTCNTTTGGTTTTATGTTCTTTGGAGTTAAGCACAAATTTGCTACAGAGAACTTACTATAAAGGAACACTTTATCGATGGAAAAAATAGATTTTATTTTTTATAAAAGAAATTGCATTTAAGATCATATGCTTCTCTTCAATCTTTATTACGTATAATGATAAAACTGTAATATAACTAATAGTGACAACTGGATTAACTAAGTGTTGAAAACATAGTAAAACTATAAAATGAAAAAACAAAACTTCTAAAACCATAGAAAAAATTGACAAATAAAAGGAGTAAAAACTTTAAAACTGATACAAACTGGCTAAAAATCAAGCTATAAAATGCTTCACTGTTTATAAATGGTTAGAGCAAGTAATATAGAAAGAGAAGATACAATATTTTTTAAGATATAAACAAAAAATAATAAATAGAAATACACAACAAAAATGAATTATAATAGATTACAGATTTAGATAAATGTCAGCTTAGTACAGTGGGTGATCGGTTAACGAACAAATTGGATATTGAACACTTTCACAAAAGATTTTTATGATCAGACAACGAACACTTCACTGAACAAACACAAGAAGAAGCGACATAAAATAACGAATACCGATTGGTCTTCCTTTGTCTTCAGGCAACAATTCAAAATATTTTGGAGCACAGGAGACGTCAACATCGACGTTCAACCCAGTATATACTGATCGAATAGTATTCACCCGAACTTTGAAATTTTCCCTTGTAATTTCAGCCTTTTATATTTCTGACAGAAACAATTCTTTTATGTTTTCTGCAAAAGCAGATTAATGCTGATATCTGCTATTAAAGATCTTTTGAAGAAATGGGAGGATGTCAGAACAACGGTCTTAAAATGGCATCTAAACCAGGTTGAGGTTAATTGGCTTAAGGATCTCTACAATTACAATGCTATTAATTACTTCTGAAAAATCATGAAGACAGAAAAGCAATAGACATTGGACAGATTCTTTAACATCCACAAATGGAAAAAACATGACTAATAAAAATGCAAGACCGTGTATATATGTATTTTTATTATTACATATGAATAAATGTAGTAAGAAAGTATGTATTTTTTATTTTTTGGGGGTCTCCAGAATGAATTAATCAAATTCCCATAGAAACCTATAGTAAATCAATAATCGGTTAATGAACAATTCGGATAGTGAACAAAGTCTTGGAACGGATTATGTTCGTTAACCGATCACCCACTGTATTTTGTAACTATTATATTTATGTAACTTTTTGGAAATAGAATTTTTATTGCAAATCTTGCTAGCTACTACCATATGTGTGTGATATTGAAGTGAAAATCTGCAATAACTCCAATATATATCATGAGAACCCAGGGCTCTGGGATAATCTTGTTTCACATTCAGCATGGAAATGGAAATGAAATGAAGAAAGATTTGTAAAATCTGTGTCTTTAACTTGCAAATTTATTATCTTCTGAGTGGAAAAAGATATATTAGAATCATCCAGAGTTTTAGGAGGGTTTAGTTTAATTGCTACATGAGATACGTAGGTCAATGATGGAGTTAGACATTCATAAAACAAAATGACAAAATAATAAAAATGTTTATTTACTGATTTTTTTCTGTAACAATAGCTAGTTGTAACTGAAATAAAAAACACCAGCAAATTTAAACTATTGTATTGCAAACAAATAACTAATATTTTAAACATGAAACATTTCAATACTGGGGTACAAATGGCATCACATGATTTCACCTATGTACTCACAGACTATGCAAAGGAGCACATGCTCCTTTGCATAGTCTGTGTTTTGGTTGCTTCTTGGTATGGTTGTTGAGCTTGATCTCTGTGTATCTTAATAAATCATATTCCTGAAGTTTAATTTGAATTTACTATGGTTTATTGTGTAGTATTTGGTTGTGATTCCAATTGTGGAAAGCATAAAGATCAGTTGTTATTTTTTTAAATCTGGTGGTAATTCACCTTTAAGATAAAAACCAGACTTTTCATGGCAAAGGTGAATGACTTAGCTTGCCAGATTTAACAGGAAAACTTTACTGATTCTACTAACAGACAATTAACATATTTGTAATAAACCTTTCATTCAAATATGTGTACAATGCATAATTGGTCTTGTTTCTGGTAATATGTTTTAAAAATTGAATTGTGATAACTTGAATTTTTACAGTGAAAAGTGGAGAACAGTGAGATGCTTTTCTTAATTCACACTTTAATTCTACTAAACAGTTATTTGACGATGATTTTTTCAATCATGAGGAAGGTAATGAATTTCTATGGAAAAAATTGGAGGAGTGAAATATTATGAACGAACTATCTTTGAGAAAATTTTTTGTGGAGTTATAAATTTCCTACAGGGTTGGTACAGTGAGAGACAGAATTAATTTACAATCTAAAAAATACTACAAATGGAACATAAGATTTTATTTAATATTTAAATGAACTGAAATAAAAGGTACAATGCAAAAATAAACTTCTTACCTTAACATCTCTTTCACAACTGGAATTAATGTTTAAACCTGCATCATAGAGAAAAAAAATTAGTTAAACAGAACAAAGAAGTAAAGTTTATAATGAAAATAATGTAAAAAATCAATGTAAGAAACTGTGATATTTTCACCTAAGTAAATAGTTTAATAATCTGATAATATATTTAAAGCAACAATAGATTGTTAGAGACTTTGCAAAGAACCAAAATTATGGTGACAAAAGGAAAAACTTGTTAGTAATTACAGTTAAAAATTACTTCTATACAAATACACCTTAATCAACTTAAAATATAACTTTAAATATAAAGCTACATTCATTTTTAGTAAGGCAGTTTGTGTTGTGAGTTATACAAATCTCTTGTGTAGATACATATCTTTCCTACAAGCAAAATTAAATCATTACCAACAGCTTGATAAAACATTATGGTGGATAAATCCTCTTGTCAAATATTAACAATTATGAGCTTCAAGTAATTTGTATGCCTTTATCTGATCCAATGTGGCAGCAATAATTGTTAAAACTTAATAATTTACATGTCACCATGTTCTATAGTGGGCCATGTGGTTAGATCATTGGATGAAAAATCTGTTGGTTGCATTTTGTATGGATCCCATCTAATAAAAGAAATTATCTCTCTTTTTTCAAATCATTACCTTTCAAAATCAGCTGCATACATAGCCAGACAAGATTTTTTTCTTGCACATTGACATAGTAGAGTAAATGAATAAGGTAAAGCAAAATCAGCAACCAATATGGCAGATGAATTGTTTTGGTGGTCAGAGCTAAGACATTAAATCACATGACTACACCCTCTATTGTTAAGACATTACGATAAATGATAACTATTGTGTTGCATTATTAGTCTCAAATATATAAATATAACCAAAATTCTGACTAAACCCTTATAATTTTAAAAATTGCAATAAGTGTTTTGGAATAAGCTAATTCTGATAATATTAGACTGTTGATAACAATATGCTTGATTATAATAAGTGATTCTACTGTGTATTCTAACACTAAAATTATTATTATTATTATTTTGATAATCAATGAAAATTATTTTTAATGTAGTAAATGGTAAAATATATTAAAAACCAAAATTTATTTGTTTCCAAATATTTATTAATTATAAATATTTAAATCTTTCCAGCCCAGGATAAAACAAATAATTAAATGTGAAGCTATTTTAATTAAGAAGTTCTTCATTTTAGCAGCACTTAAAGGACATGCTATTGGAAGTTTAGTATATCTTCCATCACTAAGGGTAATGTAGTACAATACATAGCCTACATTTTTTTTAATTAAAAATATTAAAAAAGTAAAACTTAGAATTTTTAAAAGAATTTAATAATGATTTTATTATTAACTTAAATTAATTGATTATGACCATACATTAAAAATAAATGAATGTTAATTAAAATATAATATACCTTCAACTCTAATGGAGGGAGAATTTTCAAACCCAGTAGACTGTGATGTGTTAATGTTTATTTAATAGATTTCAGTATATAGTATTTAAAAAATTTCTCATTAATATTTAGCTATTATTCAAATATTTAAATAAATAAGATGTTTATTTTTTTAATTATTCTTTATCAATGGAAAAAAAATTTCTGTAAATATTTTAGGAAATTGGAAATCTTGTCTTTTATGTTTGATGATGTAAACTAAGGATAAATTTTCTGAATGCATTTAAAACTGAAAATAAGAAATATAATGTATTGTTTTTAATTGTAATATAAATTAGTAAAAAAAAGTTAATTTTTAAATTATGTTGTTTTTCCTTTCAGATATTTTAATTAAAAGAAAAAACTCTCAATGAAAACATTTTCTAGAGAGAATCAGAAAGATATTTAAATAGTTGTAGATAATTAATACAATCATAATTATGTTTTCTTCTCTTTAGAGGAAACACTTTTTATAATTAGTTTAATGATATTTATAATTATTTCATATCAAATAATACATTATTATATACAGTAGAGTCTCACAAACTCAATTTAATGTGGACTGATAAGGTGACAACTTACCAAAAATGATGATTATTATGGCATAGTGATGATGCTAGTTTAAGTTCTAAACAGCAGAATTTTTTAAAAGTTATTACATGTACAAATTCATATACATATTATGTACCAATATTGACTATTTCTATTCCTAGTTAAATTTTAATTAAAAGAAAAAAATAATGACTATTCAGTGCCTACTTTCAAGTCAGTGACATTCATGTCATGACAATTTTGCAGTGGCAGTTTGGAAGAGGGGTTATATTCTTTGTTAACATGTAGAATTGATGTTATTGTCAAATGTTGCCAGTGAAGAATGATAACTTATTTGATCCTAGTGTTCAGTTATAGATATAAAAAATTGATCACATGCATTTTTGGTTTTTTTGAACAACATGATGAGTTTTAAGGAATGTTCAGTTATCAAGAGTTGAGTTTTCAGTACGTATTACTTAAAAATCACATCATCTACTATGAATGCAATGCAGAAATAATTATTATCAAGTTATATGAAATATCATGTATATTAAGTAAATACTGCAGATTTAATTATTGATATGATATTATCAATTTGCACTTGAAATTAACATCAGTTTCACATATTAACAAATATAAGCCTTATTTAAAAGTTTCACTGCAAATCACCATAGTGCAGATGTCACTAACTCAAAAGTAGCCACCGAATAGAGTAGAGCCTCAATTATCTGACCCCCGATTAACCGACCGTCCTAGTCGGCAAATTTCAAATGTCCGCTAGTGATGTGGCGCTACAATATTTGGCTATGTCTTAGCTACTTTAATATTATTTTTACGTGTTTTAGCTGGCAACACTCATTTGACCATGAAAGGGAGCCAGTATTTAAACGAGGCTTAATTTTCTAATTTTTAACGATACAATAGCGACGATTATTATTTTAAAAAATTTTTGTTGGGCTTAACATCGATGAAAATTCAACGCAAAGTAGGTTAGTAGCGATATACTAATATACTAATTACATGGGATATAATAATATAGTACACAAATAATGGATTTTTTCATACTTTTTGGTTATCTGACTTTTCAATTATCCGACCAACCCCAGTCCCCAATTGAGTCGGATAATCGAGGCGCTACTGTAGCTAATATATTCTTTTTAAATTAAAATTTAACTACAAGTAGAAATAGTCACTATTGGTATGTAGTTAATATGTACACTAATTTGCACATATATTTTTACCAAAATTCTGCTATTTAGACTAGCAACATTGCTTTGCTGCAAAACTTGTCAATTTTGGTAACTCAACACCTTTTCAGTCCACATGAAGTCAAGTTTGTGGAACTTATTAATTTTGCTCGTTAATTTTTATACAAGATTGATTTTTTGACAAACTAAATGAAAATTATATATTTCAGCACTTAAATGACTTACAGGGAAGAGATAGAAATTATACTATTAGAGAATCATACCATGCTAAGATTAAAAGGTAAATGTACAAGCTATTTTAAATTAAATTTAATATTTCTTGAAATTGCTTGATTTAAGGTTTTGTACTATTGCTGTAGTATTGGAGTTAATACTTGTACTTGTAATATAGATTAGTAGGCTGTCTTGCGACTTAGCCGTTTGAGAAAGGAAAGAAGGAGGGGTGCAGAGGGAGGGGGATGAAAGTTAAAGGAAAGTGGGAAAGAAGAGAGTAGGGGGGTATCACATGATTGTCAAGCACCGGGAACATAAATATGTATAAAGCAGAATACAATGTGTACGATAAAGGTGGCTGTATGCCAGTGCTCATTGCACTATACAAGATGATGGATGGATACATAAATACAGGGTAGGGTGCTGAAGCACAATATGCATAAGAATGTGGTTACAAAATAGAATGGGCATAGTGCCCTGAATAATAAGAGAGCATTAACATTAATAAAAACAGTAAGCTATACAATAAAGAGGTATACATTGAGAAGGGCACATTAGTCAATGACATAATATGCTAAGTTATACAAGGAAATACAATAGGATACAAATTACCATAAAAATTGCAACTTACACATTACGATATGTACAAATTGGTGCATAGTAGCAAAGCGGTTACGCGGAAACACAGAGTAAAATAATAAGCAATTGTGCACAGAGATTACATTGAGGTTTACATAGCTGAGATGATGCNAAACGGCTTAACGGATTTTAATTCCGCAAGCGGCGTAAAAACAGGAAAAAGAAAACTTTGAACGGAAGCTTACTGTTAGATGAATCTAGCGGTAATCAATAATCCTTGGATTGAGCACAAATAACGTCGATGTAGCGATCGTAAACAGGAGCGATGCATACCACGTCCTACCAGCTCCTGTCCTTAAACGGCTTCTCTGGAGTTAATACTATTTACTAAACAAGAATATTATTCAGTTTAAAAATATAGAAGAAACTAAGTCATTTTCATACTTCTATCATGTCCAATCACCAAGAACAAAACAATCTTCCTTTGCAGAGATGACTTTTTATTAGATCTTTAACCATTTTAATACTGTTTTACATAATTTTGCAAAGGCAGAACTTCTAATAAAGTATTGTTTCTATAAAGGAAGACTGTTTTGTTCCTGGTGATTGGGCACGATGGATGTGTGGAGACATCAGACTTTCTTCTATATTTTTAATTCTATAAAAATACTGTCAGCCATTTTAATTGAAATTATACAAGAATATTATTGTGTTAGTATCCTTAGCAATTGCTTGACAATGTATAACAGGCTTGTTCTTGATTTTGATTTGCTAACACTGTTGATTATTCCATTTTATATGAATTCCATGATGTACGAGTCACTTAGATTTTTACAAATGCGTGTGCCAGGCTGTGAACGGCTCACATATTTGTAAAATCTAAGTGACTCGTACAGCATGAATTCATATAAAATGGAATAATCAACAGTGTTATAGGGGGGTTGACTGTATTGCAAACTAAATTTTAATTTTTAGTCAAATATTGTGTTTTAAAATGATCAATTATTGTATAAAATGAAGTTATATGTTATGCTTTATCTATTAAATAAATAAGATCTGCAAGTAAAAATGATTATATGAAATTGACTACAGATTGAAAAGATCTAAATTATTTAATATGCCAACAACTACTGGATTATATTGTGATTATTTTAAATTAATTACTAAATAATTTGTCACTAGAAGAAAGCATTAGGTGCCATCTCTTATTAGATTTAATAATTATAATTAAATTAAATAATTTAGAAAATTCTGGAAAAAAGAATCAGCCTGGAGCAGAACTCAAACCCACAACTGCTGCTTGCTATATGGATGTGTTTGACAGTTATGCTACCCGAGCCTGCAATCTGAACTTCTCTTCCAGATATATTTGAACACGAGCTAACCATCATCAGTTACATATAATATATCTGCAAAAGGAGTTTAGATTGGAGGCTCGAATAGCATATTAACAATGCATCTGCACGATAAGTGGCAGTTGCAGATTAGAGTTTTGCTCCAGACTGATTCTTTTCTTCCAGAATTTCCTAAATTAATTTAATTTAATTATAATTATAATTATTAAATCTAATAAGAGATGGCACCTAATGCTTTCTCTAGTGACAAATTATTTAGTAATTAATTTAAAATAATTGTGATATAATAGCCTGATATAATCCAATAGTTGTTGGTGTATTATGTATGTCATTGGGTTTGTAGAAGTTGCTTTATGTATATAAATTATTACATATTGTATACAGTGGTGCCATGTACTTCAGACTTAATTAATTCTAAGAGGTCATTTGAACTTAAAATTGCTTGAAGTCCAAAGGAATTTTTTCCATAAGAGATAATGAAAAGTGAATTAATTTATTTCTTGATCCTGAACAATACTCATTTCAATAAACTTAAAACTTTCAAATACACATTATGTAATGTATAAATAAGACAATTACATGCTCTAATAACAAATTAAAATTTGAAAATAATAAATAATATATAATAAAATTAAAAATTCATTAATTTAAAATTAATTAAATTAAAATTAAAATATGTTTTGGCTACTTTAATATTATTTTTGTTAAATTTTTGTGTGTTTTAGCTGTCAACATTGGCTCAACCATGAAAGGAGGGCCAGTATTTAAACGAGGCTTAATTTTCTAATTATGAGTGGTTGTTTGTTTTGTGAGCAATAAAATAATTTAAAAATAATTTTTAACAATACAATAGTGACAATTATTATTTTAAAAAAATTTTGTTAGGCTTAACATCGATGAAAATTCAATGCGAAGTAGGTTAATATCGATATACTAATTACTTGGGATATACTAATATACTATACTAATAATGTATTTTTTCATACTTTTCGATTATCCGTTTTTTCAGTTATCCGACCAACCCCAGTTCTCAATTGAGTCGGATAATCGATGCTCTACTGTATTTTGCATCTTTTTACAAGCCAGGATTTGGCAATATTGGATTTCAACACTAAAGAAGTGTTGAAAGCTTTTTCATTAGATGTCAAAATTTAAATCTAAATGGAAAAGCCCAAAAAATTGTTTCATGTATATAATGTAAAAATGGATTGAACATTTGGAAAAGTCAATCTTAAATGGTGATAATGATAAAGTATGAATATATATGATTAAAATAATTTTTACTATTTTACTTTCCTGACTGTTATGTATATGTTACTGTGAAAGACTGAAATTAGAGAATGTCGACACATACAAAATACATCGGTAAAAGACAGAATATTTGGTTATATTATTATACATTCGAACAATTGCCGGTGTATGTCGACAAGCACAGATAAGCTTTGGTGGAGGTCGAAACGACACCCGAGAAGCCGATGTTGACAGAGAGGCGACAGTCTGTTGCCAAATCCTTTGTGGGTAGCCAGAGGTAGGACAAGGTCTTTTGATCCTGTGAAGTGGGGATTGGTTTGTCAGGTCATGTAGCGGAAGATGAGAGAGGTCGACGTTAAGGCGTTGGCAATATCTGAATAAAAGATGCCATTAACAGACCAGTTCGTAATTTGTAAAGAAAAGTAACTTTCCATAGATGAGATTTCTTCTCAAGAAATAGCTCTGAGAGAAGCAATTGCAGCTAATTCGAAAAGTGGAGGGCAAGGCTATACACGCTGTCATTGCAAAAAAGAAGTGTTCCACGAATAAATGCAGTTGTAAAAGCACGGGACTCCTGTGCAATTCAAAGTGCCATAACAATTTAAGTTATTGCAATAAATAAGATTGTATAACGTTAATCACATAATATATGTGTAAGTTTACTATTGCATATTATTTTTCTTTTCTGATTAAGAATGTACTGCTTGTTTTAGGTTCGGCAGTTTATTTACATGTGCTGTTACTTAAGCTTTCTCCTATTTTGACATATTAAAAAGTTGCATTTTTGTCTTAATGTAATAAAAATATTCTTATTCAACAATCACCATCAGTGCATGCTGAATGTCGACATTTGCCGGTGTAAGTGAAGAATAATGATATTAAATATTTCATACATACACAAAACAACTGTGTGAATGCTGACATTCACCGGAGAATCTCAACATTTGCCAGATATCAGTCATTCACAGTAACATATACATAACAAGAAAAATTGTTGGAATCATGTTAAATTTGACTCTTTAGATGTTTTGAAAATCTCCACATTTAGAGACCTGAACCCAAAAAGTAAAAAATTGGTGTGTGTGTGTGTGTTTCATTTAATATGTCAGGATGGGCTAATGATTAAGAAATGAAATTTGGCTTGGTAGTTGCATATAAGGGGCTTTGTTATATGATGCTGTTAAATTTTGGTGATTAAAGGTTGAGGCATGGAAAGGATAGAGGGAATTGTATGTCATATGTTGAGAGGGATTGACTTAATGAAGATTTTATTCATTATTAACATTTACAGGTTTTTTATAAAACTTATTACACCATCAAAATTAAGCATTTTGTCTTTTTATAATAGTTAATAATACAACATTTTTGTGATAAAATCTTATAACATATAGTGCCATACTCAATTTATTTATTATTAATATGATTAATAACATAAAAGTTATTTTTTAAATAAAATTTTTTAACAACTAGGAAAGTTATGCAACTCATTGCTGGCTTTTTTAAGACTAATCCATTATTTGATCTCTTCTCAAACTAATTTTATAAAAATGGAGACCTATTTATTAATCACTCCTCATATATGTTGTTAATTTGTAAATTATTTATATATTTTATATTAATAGTAAATAATGCTCGTCTAAATATAACTTCATTCAGTAATACTATATCATCTTATATTAGTTTTATTTATGATAATTTGTTAAAATTTTGATTCAAAGTAATAATAATTGACATAGAAAATCTGCAATCTTCTAATTTTACTACTATATGATGATAATTTTATGCAATTTTGTTATTTTGCATTTTTATGCCATTTAATATTCATTATTATAATGTTATAGAAATTGTACTAATTAAGATAATTTAATTATTGCGCTATTCATAATTATTAGCATCATAGTCTATGCAATATATATTTATAAATTCCATGGAAAATAAATAAATAATCTGAAATATTCTTTATTTTAGAATTCAAGATAATATCAATATTGGTATTTTAAAGCAACATGATTATGATGATGATGATGATGATGATGAAACTCAGCTAGAAAATAAATCATCAGAAAATGTACAAGTTTCAAAAATTAATTCAAATATTGACTCTAATATTAATGATAACTCTTCAAAAAATTCAAAAAAAAAGAGACATATAGAGATGAAGGAAGAGGAATCTGATAAAATTTCAAAGAAGGCAAAAAAGCTTAATAAAGATGAACATGAAAAAGTTGAAAAGATAAAAAGAAAAAAATCTAATAAAACTGGAGAAAAAGAAAGCCAAGAAAATATCAGGGTGTAAGTTAACAATTTAAAAAAATAATTTTAGAAAATATAAAATATTTTGATATTTGAAGTTATTGAATAATATGTAAATNAATAATCCGTATAAACTACGCTATAAACAAAAAATTGTAGGATTACTTACCGAGTGTGCACTATTAGACATCCCCATTGCTAAAGCTTGTTTTCGTTGCGGAACAGATCAGCAAATAGTGGTTGATTTCTAACAACTTATTTTTCTGTGAAAACTTCGTAGAACTTTGGAGACATCATTAATATAAATAATTTTAATCGCCGTTGAATAAGAAATGTTTCTTTCCCAAGAAATGTATAAAATTACAGTACTGTATTAGACTTACGGTACCTAATTTACATACTGTACAGACGATAGTTAGCGTAAAAGCTCCGTAGCGTGGCGTCACGCTAGACGGCGGAAATTATATATTTAATTATAATAAAGTTACAATAAGTTAATATATAATTATATGTACAGTACCTAATCTATATATAATACTGTACAGACGATAGTAATCTCTCTGTAGCGTGGCGCTACGGACGGCGGGAAAGTAGTTCGGCTGCCCGATGATGTTTTATGTAATTATAGGAGTTTTTTACGGGTTTTTACGGATACCGTCGCAATTTTTTCACAGTTTTATAGGAATCGTAATTATAGGGGTCTACTGTATAATGTAAGCATTACTAATAAATCTTAAGATGTTTATATCAAAATAGAAAATTTTGTGGAAAAGCATGTTTATAATTTTTCTGATAACCAGTTCAAAATACATTTTTTATGTCACAATCTTCATTTGAAGTACAAAATATGCATATAATTTATGATTGCAACCATCTTAACTTCTATTTTCAGCACTCTGAACCTTGTTGAACTTGTGCTGCAGCAACTAATGTAAAGCATAAATAGTTTAACTGTCTTTTAACAAAGTGGCTTTAAGCGGTTTTACTAGAAAATGTGTCCAATATGTACAATAAAATAAAATTCATTTAATTGCTGTGTAAATAATCGCAAAAATTATCTAGGAAAAGACAGTAATCTGTCTGTCTTTTGGTATGATTACAGTATTATAGTACAATACTGCATTTTATTATCTTATTAGATAAATACAGTATATTAAAAGAGGCTATTTGGGAAATTGGTTTATTTTCATACATGAATGTTAGGGTTTAATTTTAAATATGTGCTTTAATTTAGCATCCTCTATCATAGGTAGAATGATTGATGTGGGATAGCATTTTTCTTTCAGTTAAAATATAGAACAAATGTGAAAAAACAAACGATGTGGGAACAAAGAATACAGGAAAAATTTGCATTGTATGTATTAGTCCACTTATGGGATTGGGGAAAAACATGATAGATACTGGAAAACAATTAATATGGGAATGATAGATCAAAGTTTCACTGTATTAAGTTACAATCATCTATAAAGTGATATATTTAATACATAATTCAAACATAACTTTATTTTTTACAGAATTTATAAATATATTAAATAAATGTACAGCATTTATTTATGCTATAAAAATAAATGTTTTATAAATTATTTTTTCTGTTTATTTAGTATTCAAGATAACATTAATATTGGTACTTTGAAGCAGCATGATTATGACAATGATAAATGTCAGTTAGAAAATAAATCATCAGAAAATGTACAAGTTTCAAAAATTAATTCACATGTTGACTCAAACATCAATGACAAGGCTTCAGAAAACTCAAAAAAAAGGAAACATTTGCAGATGAAGGAAGAGGAATGTGATGAAATTTCAAAGCAAAAGAAGAAGAAATGCAATGAAGATGAATGTGAAAAAACTGGAAAGCTAAAAAGAAAAATATGTAATGAAACTGAAGATGCCAAAGAAAAAGAAAGCAAAGAAAATAGCTTGTAAGTTAACAATTTGAAAAAAAACATTAATTATTTGTAATATTTGAACTAATAAAGTTGTAAGTTAATAAATCAAATTGGTAAATTTTTAAATGCTAACAATTCCTATGTGATAGGCATGTTTCAGGCAAGTGGATAACTTATCATAGTAAACCTCTTGCTAACTTGGACTAATAGGGGGTAAAGGTTGTCAGAGTTAGTGAGCTGTTTTCTCCAACAATATGGAAAAAGAGATGGTAGATATATAGTACAGTGATTTATTATGTACAGAAGTTTTACTAAGCTTTAGTAGGTTATACTGCTACATTTATTGTTATATGAAATGAGATAAAAAAATTTCATGACAGTAATGTACAGTCTTTAGTAAATTACTGACTACAGTAATGTACAAAGAGTTCTGGATATTGAAAACACTCCTTAATTTTAATTTTTTATTATCAAGAAATTTTATATTACTAAACAGTTTTTCAAAAAAGTTTGTCCAAATTGGCAAGTGTTTACTGTATAATGTTTTCAGATTGGAAAAGATTCTAAAAATATATTGATGTTTTAGGATATTATTTTAGATTAAATTTCATTTGGAAGGAATAAATTTGGAGACCTTATGAAATTGAGTTTGGCTGATTATCTACCTTAATAAATTCAAGCAAAATCTAATCTCCTGCATCTGGAAATACCCAAAACATGCTTTATTGAAGAACTAACATATAAATGAATATAATCAACAGATCCTAAAATTTTAACACTTTTGGGACTGACATTTTTTTTGGAGGTCATGTTTATGTGGACTGACTTTTTTAAAATTGCATGTATTTGAAAATGATTAACTTTATGGTTTTTGTTATTAGTCTGTGTTAAAGATTATTTTTTCTTCATTGAATTTGTTTATAATTTCAGTTTAATGTCAACAAATGCAAAAATCAATTTTTTAGCCATTTTTATAATTTCATCATTTGAAAAATCCATATTCAATTCTGATTGGGCAACAGTTTATTTTCATTCTATTTATTATTTTCTGTCATATGACAAAGACTTAATAACAATGTGTGCAATGGAGTTTTAGTTTTTGGTTTTGTTTATACACCATTTTGATTAATGTGAAAACTAGCATTCCATAAAAAATGCATAAAACTTCAATAATTGTGATGTTTTTGCCTATTTGCTTATTTGTATTATATTTTAAAACAACAACATTAAATTATTTAATAATAATAATAATAATAACAATAATAATAACAACTTTGGTACAAGAAAAAAAATGGAAAGCCTTTAGTTGTAAAAAAATTCAATAAAAATTGAAAAATTTCAAATTTTGAATTTTAATCTTAAAATTTCGTCAATAGAGAGATCTAGGAGTATATTAAAAAAAGAACAATGGCATTAGGAGAAATGAGAAGACACATTTAAATCATTATGGGAATAGTGTTGTAGGGGTGAAAGATCATTCCCATATCTTGCACAGGAGCTGCTCTGAAAGTAAAATGGAATGAAGAATGAGAAACAGAATATGAGCCAGAAAATTTGATAATACTTGGTACTTGCTATATGTTGATTGGTTCCATTAAATTTATATTGCTTCATGAATAAAACAGGTTTTAGATTTTTTGATAAAATTTTAGAAAAAGAGCTTAAAAAATTAATTGGGCTTTTATTTATTCAAACAATATTGATATCACTAGTATTATATTAGAGTGACAAAAAGGATATAGTTTAACCAAGTATTGAATATTGAATCCAGGCCTTTTCTACAGAATTATTGCTCATTTTTGTATCACTGCCTATGTAATAAGTTAGATTACAGTTATTATAAATAAAAGTACATTTTATTTTAAACTTATACACAAAAATAGTTTTTACAACAATAAAATAATATACATACTGTATATAAATATCTCTATGCCTGATAATTATATTAAAGCCAAACAACTGCTGGATTAAATTAGGATATACTTCCGAATTAAATCTATTTTCATTAATTGCTTATTTTCTAAAATTTGTAACACATCATTCATATTTATAATTATAAATCTTTTAATTACAAATTTATTTTATATTGAATTTGTAATTTGAAAGAAATAGATTTTCATTTTAAAGAAAAAGTTTTAAAAGTATATTTATATTAATGAAAAAAATTGTCTTTATACATTACACACATCAAGGAGTTTATTTCATAAATATACTTACTGGTATGCTTCAAAAATTTGAAGCACACCAGAAAGTATATTCATGTATATTTTTAGTATAATAATAATTGTTATATTTTCAGATCAGTGAAAGAAGAAGAAGAAACTATTTCTACAGAAAAATCAGATGAAATTAAAATAGAAAGAAAGAAATCAAAAATTGAATCAGCTTCTTGCGATGAAGTGGAAAAGGAAGAAAAACTACAAAGTGAAAATAATTGTAATTTAAAAGTTGGCAATAGATATAAAGCAATGTAAGTTTTTATATGTGAAATAATTTAAATTTGCTTGTTAATACAATATAATATTGATTGTTATAAATTTTTTTTAAAATTTACGAAAATAATTGAAATTTAATTATTAAATAAAAATTTTTATTCCAATAATAGAAAAGTTATGTTTTGGTTTGGTATTTGCAAGCATTTTCATAATTGGACAGTTAAAATTCATATATTCACAGAAGAATTAACAAAAATAAGTGAACAATGAATAAAGAATTAAATAATTTGTAATGTCTTTATCTCATAATATAATGCAATTAATTTATGTTGTTGACAATTAATTAAACTAATGGAACTAATGGTATCTTGTAGTTTCTAGTATTATTTTAGAATGTGCATTTAAGCAGATAATAAACATTGTTTTTATATGAATAGGTATTTTAATAGTCAGCATTGTTTTTCAAGAAAATTTTATTTAGTTTGTATCTTTACAAATTAATAATGTTTTCTAATGAAAATGACCATAGTGACAAAATATTTAAAAAAAGTACATATGAAGACAAAATTAGCATAGGATTGTTTGCAGGAAAGAAATTCAGCAGCTATAGTTGCTTGTATTTCAGGCTTAACTTAGATGTTTTTATATTAATTACATTATTATATGATTTTAGTTAGTTTGTTTATTTCTTTTAAGGTATACATATTCCTGGAAGGAAATGTGACAATAATCTTACTTAATAATTGAAATAATTTTAAAATAAATCTTACAAAGCAGTTTTTGTTGAATAACATCTGAAAACTGTTTAAAATTTTTACTTGACTACCCACATATTAACTTTTTATTTCTGTCTTATTAACAATTATACTTTTATATTCAAAAATCCAATGTAGTATGGAGAAATCCTCTATTTCACAAAATGGACATAATTCTGAACTGATTAATGATATACTATACTTGTTCCATAACAAAAAAATTATTTAAACGAAATTAACTTTCCATTGAGGAAATATTTCATACAGCTTTTCTTTTATATATAATTGGTATGTCTGACATATTTAACAAAAAAGCATACCATGGATGAGTTTTGTAATCTTCCATTATCAATTTGATTAAGATATTTCTGAAAACTGACCAAAATAACTTTAATGTTGTTGTTTTTATATTTTATTTTATAATCTTTAGTTAAATTATGTCTTAATATTATGTGTTTTATATTAGGAAGATAAATGTAATAAACATTTTGGAAACATCATAATTATTTCTGTGGCCAGATAATTTTGACTAAGTAATTTTACTTTATATAAAACTGTATACAAGCACTTCTGCCATATAAATTGAAAAATATTTGTGTAAATTATTATTAAATTAACAACTGCTACTTTACAACTGGTTAAAAATAGAAATTAATAAATACTGCAATAACCTAAAAACCATCAACAATACTTTAAACACAGTGCTAATGTTTTCACTGGTTCAACATGGGCATAAATGTTCTTATTTTGTTTAAAATATTGTTGCTGGTTTTTTAGGTTATTGCAGTGTTTATTAATTATTATTAAATAATATAATTTTTGAGTCATAGCAATTGCAGATATGTTATGAATGAATATATTATATTTTTTATTTATAACATAGAGAGAAATTTTTATTATTTTACAATCATCCGAAATGCAGAAAGTATGCTTTCAAAATTCATTAATTATATAAAAAGCAAGAAAAGATAATTATGCAAATATTTTAAAAATACTTGAAGTATATATCTTCATTCAGTACTTATAATGTAAACTTATTTTTTTTAATATGGTATATAACAAAGAAAAAAATAATATTCACACACAAACATACACAAAAAGTTTTTAATTATCTATTTGATGATCTTGTTTTGTGTGTTGATAGTTAAAATTTGACATTGCATTGTTGATTTAGTTTTTATATTTTTTCTATTAAATGAAATAAAGAATTTATATTTCAGCATTAAGTCAGTGAAATTATTTCAATTGAATATCCTAGTTAATGGTAATGTTCCTGGTCGTATACATATAACTGAAATTGCTGATAATGTGCCTGAGGTAAGAAAATATATATATGTGTGTCTAAAATTATAGTAAAACCTCAATCTTGAATTTAAAGGGACAAAAAATAACAAGTTTGAGTTATGTAGAGTTCTATATGTGGAGATATATGAAAAATAGAAAATTTTCATTCAGATGCAAAGTATAAATTAGTAGAATAAGGGTTATAATTCTGTAATGTATTTAAGTCTATGATATTTATTTCAATCATTATTAGGATAATTTATGAGGATGTAATAATGATTGAATTAATTATTACAAATTTAGGTATATTACAGAATTACTTTTACATACTACATTGAATTTATTAAAAATTAAATTTTGCATAATACATTACATCAAAGTTTGATATTCTCAATAAACTGACAACCTGTTTATGAAAAAAGGGTGCATTGCTTAGCAAACTGGCTTTAATACAACTAGATAAGTAACTCAATAACATTTCAAGTGAAATGAGCTATGTTATTGGCTTGCTTGTCCAGCTGTATTAAAAGCATTTTATCAGATGACAAAGAGATTTTTCAGAAGTCAATAGGTTGGACAGCACTTGCTGAGTTTCACTAGTTTGACTTAAGGAGGGATTCAAGATTAGAAGTTTTACTGTACATAGTATAATAGTTTTAACATATATATAACATTACATTATTTTTTAAATTAGGGTATCAATCCTCTGCAAAGTTTCAAATCAAATCAAGAGTTGGAAGTAACTTTCCTGGGATTTCGTACTTGCAAATCACATAATTATCTTCCTATAAGTCATGTAAATTCCATACTTCGAGCAGAATGTAGCTTAAGATCAGTTAGACCAAAGCCATTTAGCATTGGGCAATCAATAACAGTTTTTATTAAAGAAGTAAGTTTAATTACATAAATTTAGTTATAAAATTTAGAATAACTTTTAGAAAAGAAATCAATTTTAATTCACCAAAAGTATATTATTATTAATGTATAGAAGAATTATAAATTTATTAATATGCTTATTAAAATGATTATTACAATTATTAATGTGTAATAATTTAGAAATATAAATAAATAGAATTTAGAGCTCTTAGATATTATAGTATTGGTAATTATTTTCAATAGCTTTTGTTTTTTTAATAAGCACTGTTTAGTTTAAGCACAAAGTTTAGACACACATTTATTTAACTAAATTATAAGTAATAATATTGAATGATAATCATTGCTACAGCTTATTATATATAATTTAAAAAATCAATTAAAAATTGTATTTGTTAATTTTTTTCTTTGAACTGTTATGTAATTTAAGCTAATCACATCGTAATGGCTTTTGCATAATATTTCAAAAAAAGAAAAAAAGCAAATTTCAGTCAGTTGTATTAAGATATCTATATGATTAAATGATTTAGTATTTAATCAATTAATTTAGAAAAATTTAAAAATGTAATGATTTAAAATGAGATACAAATCAAACAAAACTTGTTTTAGAAAAGTTTTCTTCTTACTATATAACTAATTTTAAATACAATGTGATTATAATTAGTACGTAGGCTGTATTTTTAGAGCATACTAGCTGTACCCAGCCATGTGTTGCTGTGGCTCAAAATGTATCTATTATAAATGTATAACACTCCCCATGGCAGGGAATTTCGAAAAATCCCTTCTTAGTGTACATTCTCTTGATGTACCCTATTAAAATGCAATCAAAAATGCAGAAAAACCGCATCTAAAATAGTTTAATAGAAAATCAGTTCTTCATAGTAAGCCTTAATTTTGTCCCTCTCCCTCGTGAGGAGAATTTCAACATCTATATAATATAAAAACATGCACATATTCGAATGCAACATTGTCAAAATTTTAAAGCAACCGGTTAAGAATTTTTGGAGATTTAAGATTTTGAACAAATGAACATTTGCATTTTTATTTATATAGATGTATAAAAAGATCTGTGAAAATTAATATAAGTTATTGAAACATAATTTGGGAATGTGATTTGTGAGCTTGTATTTTAAAACTCATCTTCTCAAATTGTTATGTTAATCTAAAGAACTACAAACAATAATTTTTGTCTTTGTTTTACAGATGTATTAAAATGATGAGTTATTTTATAATTAACACAAATACGATCAAATTAAATAAAATCTTGTAATAAAAATTTACACACAAATTATTTTCATAAAAAAATTTAATTGAAAGTTGTCTATATTATACATGTTACAAAAAATAGTCTCAAAAACATGTAATTAAAAATATCATTGGTAGGAAGCACAAAATTGATGTAGGATGCTAACTTATTATACAGGAACATTAGGTGATTGATTATACAGAATTTATTATCTAAAAAAAGAAATGCATTTTGGCTATTTACCCCTCATAAGTCCTATATATATATGTGTATAGGACTGAGGCATTTCTTTTTTAAATAATAATGTGTGTATAATCAATCTTCTGGTGTTCCTGTATGGTACATTCTCTACAGAAATTTTGCATTATTAACAACAATTTAATTCAAAACAGAATACTTTTTTTTTTTTTTAAGCTATTTATGTGGTTCTTTTACAAATATCACATAATTTCATTATAAGCAAATGTTTTCAATACTTACATAACTATCATCATGTTTTTGTATATAATATTAAAATATGTTTTATTTTATATTACTTGTTTAAATTCAGAATAAAAAAATTATGAGAATTAATAATATAAAACAAACAGTATACAAAATTGTAATGAATACATAGCAAGTCTTCATTTAACATTATTGAGGAAAGATACAAGTACTGTACATGTAATTGTTTACAAGAATCATTGTTGAATTTTGTTTATAAACAGTAAAATTGATTCTATGAGGTGGAAATTAAATGTTGGAGGTTGTAAATGCAATCCAATTAAAATAATAACAATTATATTTTGTTTATATCAATTATCCTATAGCAAAATTGGTTTCATTATATGTTGCTTCACTTGATGCCATCAATAGATTCCTGGAAGTTGTGACATTAAATGAGGACTTGCTGTATACACATATTTAACGTGTACAAAATAATATGTAATGAGACATTTCCATGATATTAAAAGGATATCTTTAGCAGTTTGTCAGATTTATAAACAAAATCAGTTCTTAGTTCTGGAGATTTAGCATGAAATTTATCTTTAACTATTGATTGATATTCAAATTCTGCCAATCTATCAGGTTGTTGCATTTAAAATGGCTGATTTCACAGAGTGGTAGAACCTGATTTGAGCCTGCTTGATGGAATGAAACAGTCTGTGGTTATCATTGAATATCTGATAACACATTATCAGACGTATTAGACATGATAACCAATATTATTGTTTTCAAAATGCTGTTAATATGAAGAATTATTGGTTTTGGATGTGGATGCTTTAATGGAATATAAATACAATATAAAATTAACACAAGTATTTTCAACTTTTATTTTAGTTTTATTTATACTCAAAACTTCAAAAATTATTGTATACTTTCATGTTATAGTATTATAATATGAAAATATACAATATTAAGTATAAAATTTTTTTTCTGGTTTTCATTTTATGCATAATTTAAATTATCTTGTTAAAAAAATATATATATTAATTTTCTTGTTAGAGAGCACAACTTTCAAGATTGGAATTACCAGAAGGCTTTGTTTGGGATGTTGATACTCATNTTTGGGTAAGACCTGAAGAAATTGGAAGAATTAATCTTCTTAATTTAACAAATGTTATAAAGGTAATATTTTATAATTTTACTTCAGCTCTAAATTCATAAAATTTTTGTAAAGGAAGTTGTCATTTTATAGCTAGTAATGATTTATGTTAAAAAAGAGATTTAGTTTTTTCTTTATGTAAGATATTTAAACTGATAAAATATGAGGAAATAACTATATTTCATTAGAGAAGAATTTCCAAACAGATACTCAATACTCATTTGATGAGAATATATATAAGACATGGCTACTTGACTACAATTTTTTAAATTTAAATTGTTTGATGTTTTAATAAATGATAAATAAATAAAGTGTACTCACTTTGTGGATAAGCATATGATTACTAGAAATGAAATACTTTCAAGAACAGTTTTTTTCTTGAGCTCCTTTTATTCTTAAAAACACCCAGTGTTTTGAGAACAAGATATTTGAATTCTAATGGTGTTTAAATATATCAGTATTAAATACTCAATAATCAAAAAAGTGATGGTTTCTGATCCTTCAAATGGATATACAGTAGAGCGTCGTTTATCCGAATCAATTGGGAACTGGGGTGGTTCGGATAACGAATCGTGTACGAAAAAATATATTAATTTATCCCATGTTGAGATTTTTCTCCGTTGCGTGTCACTTCGCATTCAATTTTCATCAATGTTAAGCCTAACGAAGACTATTGTATCGTTAAAAATTATTTTTTTATTTCGTACAAACAAAATAAATATATTAAAAAATATAAAAACAATAAAAAAATTATACTTCAGTCTTCAGATGTTAATTTAGTATCAAAAACGTAAAATATTTGAGTAACCCAAGAAATAGCCGAAGATTGCAGCGCCACAGCACTGGCGAAAATTTAAATTTGTCGACTGGAATTGTTTCGGATATCCGACCTTCGGATAAACGACGCTCTACTGTATATGTTACTGGGAAAACTTGAAATCTGTTAAAACCCAATTTTCCTAGTTATGATTAGTTTCAACAAAGTTCTTTCATAAATTTTAGTATTACCTAGTCAATACTAGAATTCACTGTGATTTCAGGGAAAACTGGAATTGCCTGCAAGAATTGTTTTATTTTCACTTATTTACATTTTTACTTGTTTAAACTATTTTAACTGATAAGGATAAGTTAAAAGTGTTTTCGCTTGTCCAGGCCAGCATATACTTCAAAGAGATTGTTTTCTTCTATCAGTTTACTTCTCTCATAAGAACTAATAGAATCTCAGCAAAATTGCTTCACCTATGCTGTCCTGTTCAGGTATACTGGGAGTACACATGGGACTGTAGCTCCAGTCTACTGAGAGCCATTGACAAATGTGGACACATTTCTTGTTGTGATTTCACTTTTTTTGATTGTGTTCAGTTGCAATAATTTGTTCTTGTTTTCATCATTCATGGTCTAATGAGGATCAAAGTCAATCAGAAAAGGGGGTGTCAAATAATGTTTTTTGGAACAAATTCTTTGCTTGGCAAATGAGAGACTCAGAAACTTTTCTGCTCACTACAGTGTAATGACCAGAGTTTACAATAGATTTTTGAGTGAAGTTGAAGAAGCAAAATGTGCAATGAAAAAATACCTTTACAGTACAGATGATTGAAATGATTCAGCATTTTGGAAATTTGTCAAACGAAGAAACTGATAGTGAGAAGTGAATCTGTGAAGGACTACTTATCTGTTGATGGCAGTCCTGATAAGGTTTTTTCAGAATGTCTTTCAATGCTTATGATGACATTAAAGCAAATCTGTTGTATCAAAACAGTGTCTTTTCAGCACTGATTTTAATTTTGGAAACAAGAAAAAATTGCAAGGAGCCAAGTCTGGTAAGTAGGGAAGCTGGGGAAGGACGGTCTGGCACAAAACTGGTGAATTGACAAGGCTGAGTGAGCAGGCACATTGTCATGGTGAAGGAACCATTAGTTGTCTCACAACTCTGGTCTTTTTTCATGAATTTTTTTGTGCGACTGTTTTAAAATACCTGCATTGTACTGGCAGTTGACTGTTTGACCTTGAGGCAAAAATTCAAAGTGCACAACTCTATTGATATAAAAAAAAAAGTGATTATACTATGATCCTTTGCATGAATGTTTTGTCATTGTTGGCTTGTTGAAGGAATTCCAGGCAAACATCTACTCGATTTTCTTTTTGCAGTTAGGTCATCAAATGAGGAACAAATTTTGCTGTAACTTGATGTATGTTCAATTTTTCCGTTAAAATGTCATGGTATGACCCTATTGAGATTCCAACCTCTTCTGCAAGTTCTCTGACAGTCAGATAACAATTTGCATGCACCAGATTCTCAATTTTCTGAACATGAGTGTCATCAGTTGAGGTCAAAGGCCTTCCTAGTTGAAGGTCATCTTCTACTGATTGACAACCACTTTTGAATTGGATAAATTATTCGTAGCACTCTGTATGACCTAGACCAGGCATGGCCAACATATGGCCCATCTAATGAATTTATGTGGTCCACGAGTCATTTGTCAATATAAGCTACTTAAGTCCGAATATCTCGATGAAAAATTCTGACAGCTAAAAAAAAAAAAAAGGGCCAACAAGTAACTGTGCGATTAGAGTCAACACTCCATTAGAAATGTCCAGCACAGCATAGAATGTTGATAATGCATGATAATGTGGAAAATGTATCTGTAATCTCTATGTATAATTTAGTCTCTACGAGGTGACACCACAATGAGATCTCGCACCACCTCAAAATCTTCTAGGGCAGCCTCTGGTTCGGCCCGTGAAAAATGTTTTCTTTCCAATTCGGCCCGGGGGCAAAAACTGTTGGCCACCCCTGACCTAGACCATCACCTCCATAAGCTTGATTTTAAAAGTTAAAATGTTTCTGTAAAAGTTTTTCCCAGTTTCAGACAAAACTTTCGCATTGCATCATTGCTCTCATAAATCACATGTTGCAAAAATTGCCACAAGCACTTAATTAAGCACATTTCACTCAAAAACGATAACGAGGGAATGAAGCAATATATCAATAATCCAAAAAAAAGTAGCTTACTTGGTAGGTTATCATGAATGAGTGTTGCCCAACATCACTCTGCTAGGACAGTCCATTTCCACCCAATTCAAAAAGTTTGGTTATGTTTTGAACAGACCACATATTTAGTAGTGCCAGATTAGCTTCAATATAAGACCCAATATCATTGTTTTTGTGTTCCTAATATAGAAAGATTCTTTAATTGTAAACTGTCTTTTTATTCTTTTTTTAAAAGAAAATTATAACAAGAAAAATTTAAAATTGTCAATTTTTAAAACATCAAATATAAACAAATGTAGATTTAAAAATAATTTAACTTGCTTTAGAAATTCTTCTTAAATAATCAATATTATGATGTGAAAATTAATTTACAGTATATATATATATAGCATTTAAGATTTATATTATTGAAGTTATAAAAGCCTTTAAAATTTTAAATTCTTAATCCATATAGGCTTTAAAGAAACCTACCAATGAATATCAGTTATGTCAAGCACTAAGAGTGAAAGTTTATAATATTACTGAGGATCATATTGATTTACAAAAATTAGGTTTGTATGGATTTAATAACATAATAGGAGAATTTACAAATACAAAAATACTTTATATGTATTTACGATAATTTAATCTAATTAAATGATAAAAAACTCTCATGCTTTAATTCAAATAAAACAATGAAATTGTCTCATTGTTATGATATTGTACCATATTTTCGTGGATTGTCTGGCATGTTTGTCTATCCAGAGGAGACCATGAAATCGGATATTTCCATATGGTAAAAACTAGCATGCCGGTTTAAGTGAGGTTATACATCCCTCTCTACAGGTGCAATAAAAAAAATAATGAGTTATGTCACATAAAAATGAATGAGTTTTTATTCTAAAACTGTGAAATTGTCAGCATTACATCAAAATCTGCAATTATGTTTAATTTCTTCATTTTGTCTTCAATGTAAAATACTGCGGAATTCTGAAAGTGCTTTTTTGTGTGTATTTTATTATTTGATTTAAAATATGCAAAAGTAAACATATTAAATTTAAGAAACGCGCTGTAAATTATTTCAACTTACACCAGTTAACATTGACTGTGTGTGAAATTTATGAGGAAGATGTTATTTTTAATAAGGTTGGAGTAGATGGTCAGTATAGTCCACACTGACTACTACTACTACTACTATTACTACTAATGTCAATAAGTCGTTAATTGTTTTATGGTCTTGTTAACAAAAACTCTCTTCCTGATTTTAAGTCAGTCAAATTATAATCTTATTATTTTATTGTACTTGGAAAAATGTTTTCATTAATTAACAACTAGTTTTGTTACATCTGATTAATTTTATATTTTAGTTGAGTTTAACTGGCATGCTGGTAACCTCGGGGTTTCTGGCTTGCTGGTGTTCCCTGTTTACGTGGGGCATGCTGGTCACTTGGCAAAAATATGGTAATCGCTTACTACTATCATCATTTAATTCACATAAATAAAGTTTCATTCAATTCCAATGTCTCCCCCCTTAGGCTACGGTTACTGTGGATGTAAATTCTGATGAAATCTTGTTCTGACATGTATGTCCGAAATCCTCGTCAGAACAAGGTGGGTACACTGTGTGCATTTTCTGATAGTATGTTTCTGCCTCCCAGCAAAATGGACGAACTTGATGAGTTTTACTTTCTTGAAAGTTCATTGATTAAGTTATTGTTGATAGGTGGTGGGAAAACAGAGCATGTTAACCACTTATTTTCCACAAGAGATAAGGGAGAGTTCCAAATGTTATATCAAGATTTGTGGGACAACCCGCAAAAGTTTTTCAAGTATTTCAGAATGAGACCAACATCATTTGAATATATACTGAAGGGGATAGAAGAAAGAATCAACAAGTACTCCAATTATCTCTGTTATGATAGTTTTTGTCTTTCATTCCTATTCTTGAACACAAGACTAATCAATTTATCAATATTCATGTTGAAAAAAATCAAACTCGTTTGAACACTTGAATGGTTCTGATTTCATTGTATGTGTTCTGACATGCCCTTTGCTGCCAAAGTAAACACTCTCATTGGGAAACAGGTATTTGTTTGTTTGGATGAACTCGTCAGAACAAGATTTCATCAGAATTCGCATCCACAGTAACTGTAGCCTTAGTGTGTAGTTTTTTTTTGATCAGTGGCTGCATTCAGCAGACTCAACAGTTCTGAAGCAGTTGAACACTTTTCTGCTGAATAGCTTTTACAGGTACAATACTACTTCAGTACATGTGGAACGTGTTGATATCATGTTTAACAGTAGACTTCATTTGCACTACTTTGAGTAACTATAACTGATCAAAGATGGCTGTGCTCACATAGCAAGTGAAGTATATATTATTTTTGTACTACTACTACTACTACTACTACTACTACTACTACTACTACTGTTTTGGTTGTATTATGCCTGCATTACAGTACTAATCCACTCAAGAACGTTTTATTATTAACTAAGCACAGATATGTGCAAAATAAAACTTAAAAACATTTGAAAAAGCAAATTAAATTAATTTTTAAAGTTTATGGAAACAAGCATAAGCTGCTGTATTGTCATTATTACTTGCAAATATAAACCTCTTATAAAACTCGATACATTATAATAAAGCTACAATAACTGCCATATATCATCAGGCTATATATTGGTGATAATAATTACAAATTACTGATAAATTTGACCCTAGAAGGGTGTTAGATGTCATCTTATATGTTTTCTTCCAGTTTAATCTAAAATTATTTAATTAATAAATTTAATAAGAGATGGTGCCTAATGCCTCCCTCTAGGGTTAAATTTATCAGTAATTTATAATTATTATTGCTGATATATAGCCCAATATTATATGGCAGTTGTAGCGTTATCCCTTGCATTGAGTTGATGTGATAGCATTGATACAATGAATGAGATGATGCAAGTCATTCATTGCCATTATGTACCAGTTACTGCTACCATAAAGTCTGCTGAACACAGCCAATGAGTGTATTTTAATAACAGTTTCTAACACAGTTTGAAAATAGCTTAACAGGATTTAACAGATGCAAATAATGTGTTAGATCTCTGTTTAAATAGTTACATAATTATATACTTTTGTACTGTAATTTAAGGAGTTGCTGTTTAATATTAAAACATAATCATATAAAAATATTTACAATGTGTATTCAAAATAATTTTATTTTCAACTACATTTAGGAATTGATACATTAAAAGAAGGAAAACCAACAATTGGCCATGTTCTCAGTGTTCGTCCAGATTTGGGTGTGTTTCTACATTTGCCTTTAGGTTATCGTGGAACTATTTCATTGACAGATTTTAAAGATGAATTTAAACCTTTAAATAGTTTTATGGATTGGTTAATGAAGCAATGCTTCATTAGATGTCAAATATTGCATGTAGATCATGAAACAAAGCAATGTGTTCTATCAACAAGACCTTCTAGGTGAATATAAATATTTTAAAATAATTAAAAGTTTAAATTGAAAATTTATAAATTAAAATATTCTTTAAATTTATTAAAACAGATTACAGGGAGTACCTTTAGAAAGTATCGTTGACAGAGAAGTAGAAAGTATTTCTGATTTATCTGTAGGCGATTATTTACGTGGATATTTAGTCGCACTTAGTCATAAAGGAATATTTGTAGAAATTGGAAGAAAAATAAAAGGAATTATCCCAAAATCAAATCTCCCTCCAGATTTCATTTATTCAGAAAATCATCATCCATTGGGATCTGTGTTAAAAGTGCAAATTGTATCAATTGAAGATGAAAATATTATATTAGATTTGTTAGAATCTATTTCAGATGGAAAAACAGAATTACCTCAAATAGTCCATGAAGAGTCATATGAAGAGTTAAAAGATGTAAGTAAAACTGTAATATATTAGTTTTAAGAATGCTTTTTTTTCAATTTTAATGATTAATCATTAAATGGTGACTCCATAAAATCTTTAGCAGAAATAGAAATTGTTAGCTATTTCATATTCTGTCTAGTTTCAATTTTCTGTATTGTTATTGGATACCATATATAGAAATGAAGGCACACACTAATGGGCTGAAAAGTAATTATAATCCAATATAGATGACATATGTGCATTGCTTATCTTTATGTTTAATCATGTTGTTGGAAATGGGTAAAACATGGCTAAAAAGTTAAAACATCATTTTTGGGTACTATATATAGGATTTCTGTGAATATTTAAAATAATATTATTATTATTTAAAACTATTGAATCAAAAATAATTTATTATGAAACATTTTTTGGGAAAATTTCGCTGTTTTCAGTTTTTGTCTTAGTTTCTAGTGCTCTTTTTATATCTGTGGAGTCACTTGCAGCTTTAATCTTTGAAATTGAACTATGTATTCTGCTTTAGTGAAGACTTCAATATCATAAAAAATAACATAACAATGAGTTATTGAATACAGCAGAATATAATTGAGAAAAATTTTTATTCAATAAAATTAAATTTAAATTATCTTGTTAAAAAAATATATATATTAATTTTCTTGTTAGAGAGCACAACTTTCAAGATTGGAATTACCAGAAGGCTTTGTTTGGGATGTTGATACTCATTCTTCTACAGTGAATATTGACAAAGAGAGTGACAGTGATGTAGAAGAAAAAGTTGTAATTAAAAAAGAAAAGCAAAGAACAGAGAGAGAGGAAGAAGACTATTTATATATGGTAAAATGTTTAAATATAATAATTTATAGCTTTTACACATAGGTAGTTATACAATATATTTGAAGATGACCAAAGAAAAATATTTTTTAAAATTCTACATAAACCAATATTATTTGATTTGTTAAATAGTTTTAAATTACAAAATTTTATAGAATAAATATTGAGAAATTTTATTTAAGATTAACTAAAATCTTATCTTTATTTAACTTTAATTAAGAGAGAACGACAGCTGATGAATAATGAAAGAGAACCAACAACAGTTGATGATTTTGATCGCTTAGTTTTAGCTTCACCTGACAATTCAATGATTTGGCTTAAATATATGGCTTTTCATCTGCAGCAAGCTGAGATAGAAAAGGCTAAAGCTGTTGGATTAAGAGCATTGAAGACTATATCTTTCAGGTTTATTTTTAATATTTTATTATTGCACTTGAAATATAATTTTTGACACTAAAATTGCATATAATATTTTGTTGTATTTATTTTAGGGAAGAACAAGAGAAGTTAAATGTCTGGGTAGCTCTTCTTAATTTAGAAATATTATATGGTACAGTAGAATCCTTAAAAGAAACTTTTGATAAGGCTTTACAGTATAATGAACCAATAAAAATTTATAATCACATGGTCAACCTATATGTTAAATCAGATAAATATAATGTGAGTATAACATTAATATAATTTATTCTGAGTAACATTCATTAATATAATTTATTCTGATCACTTTTTTTTCTGTTCTAATTTTCTATGTTGTGTGCACTTTTCTTATAGACAAATTTATCAAACTGGACAGCCATGGAACAGAATGACCTTGAGACACAATTTTTTTCTATGTATTTATTACAATATTCATTTAGATTTATTACAAGATTCAATTCTATGTATTACAATAGTCAGGTCCCTCCTCAGTCATGATATATAGATCTCTTTGTGGATTTCTAGATATATGCACATATATTATTAGTTTCATATTAAAAACTTCTCAACATATGTACTGATATATGACAAAATCCACTAAAAAGGTACATTTTATCCTGGACATGCAAATTCTGTATTATTCCATACAAAAATATGCCCTCAATCATCCACTATTCCAATAGAATGATCTAGATCAGCAGTTGTCAATCAGTGGTTTGTGGACTACTGGTTGTCCATGGAGAAATTTGGACATTGATTAACTCAGTATTACCCAATGCATTATGAAAGAAATGTAAAATGTTTGGTTGCTTTTTCTCACTCATTGGAGGTTTTTTATTCAGATCTAAAACCAAACACAAAATGATGTATCAATAAATAATCAACAATAAATAATATTATGAGTGTGATAGTCATCCTTCATGGAAAAGAACCAAGAATTCATAAACTTATTTCAAATGAGCAATTATTTATTGTGACATAGTTACAATGCTGGGCTGTAATTTTTAATTTAAAATATATGCTCTCTGCTTCAAATTAGTGGCTTGCTCCTGTACTACATCATACTTTTCCTTTAACAATAAAGTCATGCCAGTCAACGATTAACTACTTTCAGGGGAAAACTTTTGAATTGAAATAGTGTGACTGCCATCTATGTCCTTAATTTAATCAAAATTACTCTTTCAATCACTATATCAGTGTATTTCTATTAATAGGACTTATCATACTGGTGTATAAGATTACAGCCTCACAGTTACACAGATTAAAATTGTTTTATTTTCAATTACCTGAACACATACAATTTGCGTTTCGGACTTGTACATCCCTCTTCAGCAGGTATTTGACAAACCAATTCTAAATAAAATTCAAAACAAACTTAATTTACCGACAATATTTTCTCACAATAAATTCTTACGCCTACGATAATAAATTATAAAATTCCTACTATTTTAATGTTCTTTCTTTCTATTCCGTCTATCCTCTAATATTTCATTCCAATTACAATCACAATCAATATTACTTTTAAAACACTCCTGTATTAAAACCAATAATTGTTACATTAAACACTGACATTTTCCTTTAAACGTTGACATTTTTCAATAAACTTTACTATTTTATATATTTGTACATTTAAAACTACTTCCAACTTACATTTCTTTTTGTCTTTCTTCCCTTTCACTTTGTCTTTGCCTTTGCCAGTCTCTTTCATTCACTTTATATGTCACTTCCCTGTTTGTGGCTATCATTTCTCTCCATGATTGGTGTATTTCTCTTCCGTTGTTGTTATTCATTCTATTGTTTTGTTTTATTATATTAATGTGTTCATATAATTGTCGTTTGTAATTATTTTCTTCTTTTTTTCTTATTTTAACTGATTTTAATATAATTTCACAACCTGTTGAATTGCAATGTTCTGCTACCGCAGAATTTGCATAATTTCCACGTATTGCTCTGATATGTTCTTTTAATCTTATCTTTAATTTTCTTTTTGTCTCTCCAATATATGTTTTTTCTGGATTACAATTGCAATTAAATGAATACACTACACCTTTTAATTGAAAATAAAACAATTTTAATCTGTGTAACTGTGAGGCTGTAATCTTATACACCAGTATGATAAGTCCTATTAATAGAAATACACTGATATAGTGATTGAAAGAGTAAGTGTGACTGCCAGTTTGCATTGGAAGTTCATATATAGTTAATTGGAGTCTCCTGTCCCTAAGGTTTATATAACTGGTCTCATCTTTTATCTATCTAACTCCATTCTCGAGATTAAGGAAAGACTGACGGGCAACGTGGGAATTTATAGGTCTACAATTTTTTCAAATTGTAGCCCAATGAGCAGCAACAAACTTCACGCTAACTTCTTATAATTAAACAAGTGAATTTCATATTAATAAAGTAGAATAGAACTTTTAAGATCATTATTCCATAGATGTTTATATAATTAAAAAAAATTCACAATAGTGGTCTGCAAGATTCAAAATTGTGAGTTTAGTGGTCTGTTAGGTTGGAAAGGTTAGTGACTGCTGGTCTAGATGGCATTCAATTTGGCAAAATGCCCATCCTGATTCTTTCAACTCAATGATTAAGCCTTTCTCAAACTCTGTGAGCTGTGCATAATGTTTTTGACTGCAGCATACAGGCCTGCCCTACCATTTGAAGACTACAAACAGCAGGTACACTGAAAATGCTGAACACAACAAATCTGCAAACTTTTATAGGATTACTGGAATACATACATAGTATAGGTATACTGGTAGCATTACTTGGTATGTGATTAGACCCACAACTGTAATCATTTAATACTTGTATGCTGAAGTTTGCAGTAATTGGTTAATTCTATGTAGGTGTGTAACTTTATATAAATGAGTGCGTTTTGCAGAAAATTTTATCTCAACTTGTCCATAAATAATAACAAAAAGAATTATGAAATAATGAAGGATGTTGTCTGTTACAAAAGCATATCAGATGCTAAAATGACTATATCTTAGATAATTAATCATAATTTGGCACAGATCAATCTGATGATGATAGAAAATAGATGGTACATTACAGGACAATTAAAAGAAAGTGATGGGATGTGAAGGAGTAGGATGACCTCAGTGGGTTTGATGGAAGCTTAGCTGTCAAGAATTTTTAACCACAATATGGAAAAGATTAATATTTAGAAATGGATTGGGGAAGCATTAATTTTTAAGGCATGGTTAGTTGCTTCAGCTATCTTCATACTAAGGGATAAAGAGGCATATATATATATATATATATATATACACTGCTCTGAAGTATCTGATTTGAGTCCNTAAAATTAAATTTAAATTATCTTGTTAAAAAAATATATATATTAATTTTCTTGTTAGAGAGCACAACTTTCAAGATTGGAATTACCAGAAGGCTTTGTTTGGGATGTTGATACTCATTCTTCTACAGTGAATATTGACAAAGAGAGTGACAGTGATGTAGAAGAAAAAGTTGTAATTAAAAAAGAAAAGCAAAGAACAGAGAGAGAGGAAGAAGACTATTTATATATGGTAAAATGTTTAAATATAATAATTTATAGCTTTTACACATAGGTAGTTATACAATATATTTGAAGATGACCAAAGAAAAATATTTTTTAAAATTCTACATAAACCAATATTATTTGATTTGTTAAATAGTTTTAAATTACAAAATTTTATAGAATAAATATTGAGAAATTTTATTTAAGATTAACTAAAATCTTATCTTTATTTAACTTTAATTAAGAGAGAACGACAGCTGATGAATAATGAAAGAGAACCAACAACAGTTGATGATTTTGATCGCTTAGTTTTAGCTTCACCTGACAATTCAATGATTTGGCTTAAATATATGGCTTTTCATCTGCAGCAAGCTGAGATAGAAAAGGCTAAAGCTGTTGGATTAAGAGCATTGAAGACTATATCTTTCAGGTTTATTTTTAATATTTTATTATTGCACTTGAAATATAATTTTTGACACTAAAATTGCATATAATATTTTGTTGTATTTATTTTAGGGAAGAACAAGAGAAGTTAAATGTCTGGGTAGCTCTTCTTAATTTAGAAATATTATATGGTACAGTAGAATCCTTAAAAGAAACTTTTGATAAGGCTTTACAGTATAATGAACCAATAAAAATTTATAATCACATGGTCAACCTATATGTTAAATCAGATAAATATAATGTGAGTATAACATTAATATAATTTATTCTGAGTAACATTCATTAATATAATTTATTCTGATCACTTTTTTTTCTGTTCTAATTTTCTATGTTGTGTGCACTTTTCTTATAGACAAATTTATCAAACTGGACAGCCATGGAACAGAATGACCTTGAGACACAATTTTTTTCTATGTATTTATTACAATATTCATTTAGATTTATTACAAGATTCAATTCTATGTATTACAATAGTCAGGTCCCTCCTCAGTCATGATATATAGATCTCTTTGTGGATTTCTAGATATATGCACATATATTATTAGTTTCATATTAAAAACTTCTCAACATATGTACTGATATATGACAAAATCCACTAAAAAGGTACATTTTATCCTGGACATGCAAATTCTGTATTATTCCATACAAAAATATGCCCTCAATCATCCACTATTCCAATAGAATGATCTAGATCAGCAGTTGTCAATCAGTGGTTTGTGGACTACTGGTTGTCCATGGAGAAATTTGGACATTGATTAACTCAGTATTACCCAATGCATTATGAAAGAAATGTAAAATGTTTGGTTGCTTTTTCTCACTCATTGGAGGTTTTTTATTCAGATCTAAAACCAAACACAAAATGATGTATCAATAAATAATCAACAATAAATAATATTATGAGTGTGATAGTCATCCTTCATGGAAAAGAACCAAGAATTCATAAACTTATTTCAAATGAGCAATTATTTATTGTGACATAGTTACAATGCTGGGCTGTAATTTTTAATTTAAAATATATGCTCTCTGCTTCAAATTAGTGGCTTGCTCCTGTACTACATCATACTTTTCCTTTAACAATAAAGTCATGCCAGTCAACGATTAACTACTTTCAGGGGAAAACTTTTGAATTGAAATAGTGTGACTGCCATCTATGTCCTTAATTTAATCAAAATTACTCTTTCAATCACTATATCAGTGTATTTCTATTAATAGGACTTATCATACTGGTGTATAAGATTACAGCCTCACAGTTACACAGATTAAAATTGTTTTATTTTCAATTACCTGAACACATACAATTTGCGTTTCGGACTTGTACATCCCTCTTCAGCAGGTATTTGACAAACCAATTCTAAATAAAATTCAAAACAAACTTAATTTACCGACAATATTTTCTCACAATAAATTCTTACGCCTACGATAATAAATTATAAAATTCCTACTATTTTAATGTTCTTTCTTTCTATTCCGTCTATCCTCCAATAATTCATTCCAATTACAATCACAATCAATATTACTTTTAAAACACTCCTGTATTAAAACCAATAATTGTTACATTAAACACTGACATTTTCCTTTAAACGTTGACATTTTTCAATAAACTTTACTATTTTATATATTTGTACATTTAAAACTACTTCCAACTTACATTTCTTTTTGTCTTTCTTCCCTTTCACTTTGTCTTTGCCTTTGCCAGTCTCTTTCATTCACTTTATATGTCACTTCCCTGTTTGTGGCTATCATTTCTCTCCATGATTGGTGTATTTCTCTTCCGTTGTTGTTATTCATTCTATTGTTTTGTTTTATTATATTAATGTGTTCATATAATTGTCGTTTGTAATTATTTTCTTCTTTTTTTCTTATTTTAACTGATTTTAATATAATTTCACAACCTGTTGAATTGCAATGTTCTGCTACCGCAGAATTTGCATAATTTCCACGTATTGCTCTGATATGTTCTTTTAATCTTATCTTTAATTTTCTTTTTGTCTCTCCAATATATGTTTTTTCTGGATTACAATTGCAATTAAATGAATACACTACACCTTTTAATTGAAAATAAAACAATTTTAATCTGTGTAACTGTGAGGCTGTAATCTTATACACCAGTATGATAAGTCCTATTAATAGAAATACACTGATATAGTGATTGAAAGAGTAAGTGTGACTGCCAGTTTGCATTGGAAGTTCATATATAGTTAATTGGAGTCTCCTGTCCCTAAGGTTTATATAACTGGTCTCATCTTTTATCTATCTAACTCCATTCTCGAGATTAAGGAAAGACTGACGGGCAACGTGGGAATTTATAGGTCTACAATTTTTTCAAATTGTAGCCCAATGAGCAGCAACAAACTTCACGCTAACTTCTTATAATTAAACAAGTGAATTTCATATTAATAAAGTAGAATAGAACTTTTAAGATCATTATTCCATAGATGTTTATATAATTAAAAAAAATTCACAATAGTGGTCTGCAAGATTCAAAATTGTGAGTTTAGTGGTCTGTTAGGTTGGAAAGGTTAGTGACTGCTGGTCTAGATGGCATTCAATTTGGCAAAATGCCCATCCTGATTCTTTCAACTCAATGATTAAGCCTTTCTCAAACTCTGTGAGCTGTGCATAATGTTTTTGACTGCAGCATACAGGCCTGCCCTACCATTTGAAGACTACAAACAGCAGGTACACTGAAAATGCTGAACACAACAAATCTGCAAACTTTTATAGGATTACTGGAATACATACATAGTATAGGTATACTGGTAGCATTACTTGGTATGTGATTAGACCCACAACTGTAATCATTTAATACTTGTATGCTGAAGTTTGCAGTAATTGGTTAATTCTATGTAGGTGTGTAACTTTATATAAATGAGTGCGTTTTGCAGAAAATTTTATCTCAACTTGTCCATAAATAATAACAAAAAGAATTATGAAATAATGAAGGATGTTGTCTGTTACAAAAGCATATCAGATGCTAAAATGACTATATCTTAGATAATTAATCATAATTTGGCACAGATCAATCTGATGATGATAGAAAATAGATGGTACATTACAGGACAATTAAAAGAAAGTGATGGGATGTGAAGGAGTAGGATGACCTCAGTGGGTTTGATGGAAGCTTAGCTGTCAAGAATTTTTAACCACAATATGGAAAAGATTAATATTTAGAAATGGATTGGGGAAGCATTAATTTTTAAGGCATGGTTAGTTGCTTCAGCTATCTTCATACTAAGGGATAAAGAGGCATATATATATATATATATATATATACACTGCTCTGAAGTATCTGATTTGAGTCCAAGCTGTTGGACTTCAGAAAAAATTCATGGGTAATTGATCTGCACATTTCAGTTTCTGTTCAATTATCTTTGGATAGAAATGTGAATTTCTATCTAATTATCTTGTTGCATACAAGGAAACTTTGAGCATGAAAAAAGTATGACTGAGTGAAAAATGAACTTAAAAAAAATATATATATATAAATTTGATATTAGGTTAATACATAAATATAAAAACAATACTTTTCTCTTATATCTTAATCTGAATAACCAACTTCATTAATTTAATGATTTTTGTAATAGTAATGGATTTTTAAAAATATATTAATATACTGATTAAAGGTCAATTATTATATATATGTAGGAAGCAGAAGATTTATATAAAACAATGGTGAGGAAATTTAAACATGACAAAGATGTTCATATCAATTTTGGATTATTTTTTATGAAGCAGAATAAGATAGATGCAGCAAGGAATGTATTACAAAGAAGTCTGACAGTTTTAGAAAATAAAGAGCGTAAGTAACAAAAAATTTTTAATAGAATTTAAAAATCAAATTTTAAGTGGAAAATTCATGCATTTTAAATTTTTTTGACAATTCTTATTCTTAAGAAAGCTGAAAAGAAAAATTAATATAATTTGGAGTTATGGTACATAATTGGAAGTACATAACATTTTTATTTAATTTATTACATAAATATATAAATAAAACTGTCTTTCATTGATTCTTCTAAAATTACACATTTTGATAGAATTCTGACATTAACATGTTTAATGTCTTATTTTTCCTATTATAAAATTATCTTTTGCAAAATGAAACTTGTCTTGTTACTCCATAGTTTAGACTTTAATACCTCCAAAAGATATTTCTTGTAAATATTTTAAACCTATAAAATTGTTTGATAACTTGTTTGAAAAATTAAAAATTGTTTCTTTAAATTCTCACAATCTTACTACAAAATTACTAAGTCTTTATACTTCAAAAGTTCAGCTCAATTATTATTTAATTTATAGTTCTACATTAATAAAAATGTATAAATGTTAAAACTAATTTATTTTATTTTTATTCCTACATTAATAAAAAGACAAAGGAGAAATAATAATTTTTATTTATTGAAATGAATTTTTATCGAATTTTCCGATTAATATTCAGCATTTTTCTAAACCCCCAATTTAATTTTCCTTTAAATTCTAAACTAAAATCTAACTTAAAAAAATGGAAAAATTCCGATCTCCCCTTTCGTTTAAAGTAATCATCTGTCCATTTCGAAACTAATCCCACATTCCAACTCCAAAGTTGATAGTTAGCATGGGCCCGGGAACAACTTTGACCCATCCGTATACCTTTTACCTCACAACAATGGGTCACCTGACCATTCTCCCACGCTGAACTTATAAAAACCCCTTCCTTCCCCTTCTCGGGGGAGTCGTTCATCTGCCGTCATTTTAATACTGTGTCCTGCGAATATTGTGTCCTATCGATATTGTGTCCTACAAAAATTATTATCTTTATCCTACCAACCCGTTGGATATCAAAACCGTTTTCCTCAAGAATATTTAAAAACATAAAGAGGTATGGAACAAATTTTTGTGAACTCTCTCTCGGTTCTTCGCGTTTCAGGGACTCAGATTTTTCCCTTTGAAATTAGTTATTGTAATATCTATGTAGCTAATAAATCGTTGTTATCCTGTTAAATTGGTGTCCTCTTTTACTCGTATATCGTCGGTCACCTTACCGACGCACTCCTCCCTCCGCCACTCGACCGAAACATTAAAGCCCGTTACAGCGGAAAAAAGAATTCTTCCATCCATCCTGACATTGAAATTTAATAAAATCCTGTAATTAATAAGCAGATAACATTTTTCATTTTCTTTTATGGACTGATTCCATAATTTGAATTAAAAAAATTTTATAGTTTTACCATTTAAATTGAAATTTATCTCATAATTTAACTTAATAATTTTTTAAAATTATAGATGTTGATGTTATTGCAAAATTTGCACAGATGGAATTTAAATATGGTGAAGCAGAACGTGGGAAGACAATGTTTGAAAGCATTCTTACAAATTATCGAAAAAGGACAGATTTATGGTCTCTATATATTGATCTTATGAAGAAGCATAGCACAGTGGATGCAGTAAGGTAACTAATTGTTTCTCTTGTTTTTTTTTTTTTTTTTATATCATTTTAGATATTTCACTCTTTTAATCATTGCAATATTTTTAATAGGAATTTATTTGAACGTGTAATCACACTGAAATTATCAGCTAGGAAAATGAAGTTTTTCTTCAATCGTTATTTAGACTTTGAAAAACAATTTGGTAATGAATTGACTATAGATGCAGTAAAACAGAAAGCTATTCAATATGTAAAATCAAGTAATATGAGTGTATAAATAACAAGAACTTTTGTAAATTATTTTTTAAATAAGAAAAAATATGAAAAAATAAATATTTATATTTTTAAAACTTTTTTGCAATGCATAACATACCTGAATTAATTTAGGAATATACACAAAAATTCTTTCTTAAATCTAACAGAATTTCATAATAAACGTTTATTCTTGGACCTTGAAACAATTTTCCATTATATAATTCTGACAGCAAAATAGATTCATAATAATTACTAGCTACATAGATGAATGACATTCTACCAACTTACTGGAGAAGACATTCAGATAGACATTATTGCAATGTAACCTAATAAAAGAAAGATTTTAATTGATATCAGATTCACAATATATACCAATTATTTATTAATAATTTATTACAAAATATACAGCTAAAACTTCTCAAAGAATCTGAAATAGATTGATTTTAGATTAAATATTATCATTTAGAAAAAACAACTAACAAACAATTTTGGTCATTGGCAGTTTATCTTCTTTATTGCTAAATTTTTAACTGCTGTTATTGATAAGAAAGTAGATGAATTAGCTTATAAGTTACTAATTTTTTTTTTCAATAAATGATAAAAGAGTAATTAGTAAACTGATCACATTTCTGTCCCATTATGAATGGCTTTGGGACAGATGAAATTATAATTTTAATACAGTTTAGAAATATCAAAATGATTGTGTGTATAATTTAATATCAGTCTGTAATTATCAAACTGTGTCATTTGATAATGAATAATCAACTAATACGACTGCATTTTTATCATGCTACAATATTGGCTGTAAGACAGCACCCTATCATGGGGAACATGGAATCGAATCCGAACGGCCCTAGAAATTTTTTGGGGGGTGGTTGATATGTCGGTCCTCATCCCTCACCACCCAACCATTCATTGTGGGCGTGACAAACCCATAATAGGTTTGCTATAAAAAAGGTCTCCGAGTGTCCACAGTGCTGAGAGTTATAAAATCAGCACATATGTCTGCCACCATCTCATGTGATTAACTTTAGTGATTAAATGTACATCAGATGTCGGCTTAACCGCCTATTTCTAGATACAATTAAATACCGATAAGAATTATCGATATGGATTCTTATCAGAACTATTTAATTGATCACTATCATTATCGTCTGAGTAAGACCAAACCCAATATTTGTTAATAAAGTCAATTTTATATTCAAATATTATTTATAATATAAAATTAAGAATTTTCGGGACAATTACCACGCAAATATATATATCATCAGAAAGATTTATACAATTATTAAAAAAGGAACAATTTAAAGTTGTGACAAATTATTTTATTAGATTTTAAAATGGCGATAATTGTGATTAATATATAATTAACTATACATTATATATGAAAGTAGCCAAAAATGTAAAGTACGAAATGTTTTCCAGAGAACTATAACAAAAATTCTGTACTTAAATGAAATTTTGTTATAGCTAGATAATGATATGCAATTAATTGTATTGATGAAATTAGGCCAATGATTTTCATTAGAAAAAGGCTGAAAAACACCGAGTTAGACAATCTGCCAAGGGGGAGTTGTTTCCTGGGAAGACTTATGGGAAACAGGTCCCAATTTAGGCGTTAGACAGGCGAAGTAAACCTGGAAAACACGTGGCTGACTCATCAGCTGCGAATCCAAGACCAGTTACCAATGCTCAGTGATTCATCCTTGGCTACTGATGGACTGCAATTGGTGTAACGCATATGTAGGTTATAGCCAGCGATAACAGGAAATATTTACCCTTGTTTAATGTCCTATTGGAGTTATCTGTCTCCAATAGAAATTTCAGGGAAGTGTGTTGAGGAGATTGGTATGTTATGTCAATAGAAGAGCAATAGAATACTGAGGCTCGGGGTGACCTGAGCATTGATCAGAAGAGGGAAAATGTTTTTATAAGAAGTTGGAAAAGTGACAGGTAATGGATTACCCATGATGATCAGTAAAAAATAAAAAACTTCAGCTTTCACAGTATTTTTGGTATGCAATCAAAAAATAAAAACGTGGGAGCGCTCACGAGAAGCATGTAAAAATTGATAGAAAGTGTAACTAGGTTTGGGTGTATATAAATATGGATCTTGATTTAAATAATCTCCAAAAAGTAGATGTGTTTTAGAACATAAGAGGGAGCTCGTCTGGTAAAAAAATGCGAATACCGTTAAGACACCAGTCTTGAAGTTGATCTTTATTTTATAAATTGCAAATTTTTAAGACAAAACATTCAAAAAATTATTTACTAGACAATGTCTTTATTAAATAACTACAGTATATTTAAAATTCAGTTTTAAGTTATTAAATACAGTATATGAGTTGCAAATTGGAAACATTCTGACTTAATACAGTAAAACATCGATTTAACAGACTTAGGACTTAACGGACAAAACTTTTGGTCAGTATGTCATATATGAAAATTAACACTTTGCTAATTTTAAAATGCTTTTTATATGTAATTAAATTAACAGATTATTTTTTCAAATCCAAGAGTCACCGCTTAGTTATTAGTCTCAGAACTAAGTTGAGTACATATGTAATATGCAATAATAATAATGTAGAAAACTTTTCTGTGAAATTGAATTTCTCATACAGTACTTAATTGTAATTACATAAACGTATCTACAAAAGTAAAAACAGATGAACGAACCACTTTGACAATTTTTTAATACACGCATTCGGGAAACCTACTTTATATAACGGATTTTATGCTTTAATGGACATTCCCACGTCCGAATTAGACAGTTAAATCGAGGTTTTACTGTACTTTACATTCAATGTAGAGTATAAATATCCAGTAATTTCATTTATATAAGTGTTTTTTTTATACGAAATATTAAACTATTTGAAAACATTTTTGTTTCTGATGTGTCTTAAGAATCAACGAAAGTTATTTAATTCTTATCTAACCAGTTTGTCCAAACAAATTGGTAGAGTGAAGGATTAGCCAATGGATCTATATCTTGTTTCACAATAGGAACAGCAGTTGATTCTAATTCCTTTAAACGTTTGAGCATTGACTGTACGATCTGAAAGAAAGTTTAAATTACTGTATTATTATTATTATTGATTAGAGGGGAATCAAAATTTACATATAAATGATTCTGCACTGTCCTTGTCTGAAATTTTTGAAGCACTAATCGTAAAAGTTTATACAGATTTCAAATAATAGCGAAAAAGGACTATACGCAATAGCAATAAATCCACATTTATTAAAAACATTATTATTTATTACTGGCTAAAGACTGACTTAACATCACTCCATCACTGCAACAGAACTTCAGAATTTGCGCGAAATTTTACATGTACTATACGTTCAAATTGTTCGTGAGTAAGGATCCCCTGTATTATCATTCAATTTAAATAAAATATAGGATACAAAAATAAACAATATTGCTAAATGCCTATTTATTCACGTTTCATTCGTATTAATGGGCATAGTGCGATAACTAGAAGGTGTAACGAGTGTACAGGCACAACGCCCAGACAAATAGTGGATTTTCCATTATTATATCCCCTAGGCCTGGGCTTATTAAGGACACAAAAGTTTATTAATAATGCTCAGGAGACTCATTTATCATACGAAATTTAGTCATACAGTAATGTCATGTAATATCTACTCATTAATATTCTATATAATAAATCTATTAATTAATATGAATCATTTAAATGCTCTTTTTATAGACTCTAATTAACAACTATAAAATGGATATAAATAATACTGTATAAAAAATATTTATAAATACCATAATTACTGAAATTTTACCTGTGGATGTCTATCAGCAATATTGTTAATTTCACATGGATCATTTCTTACATCAAATAAACAGGGAGAAATATTTGGATTGCAGTTATTAAATTTTTCTTTGGTTGGATTGCATTTTACTTTCAATTCAGAAAAACAATTATTCATACAGAAACATTTTTCTCTTCGGTGAAGAATATGCAAAATAATTGAACAAGAAAGTCTTTCCTCGTAATCAGAAATAGAGATAACATCTTTATTTTCTATAGCCCCATACCACATGTTATAATGTCCATTTAAATTGGAACCATTTACAATTTTATAATTTTTCACACGAAGAGCAGAGGCTTTATCAATTGGATCTATGTTCAATAGTAGTTCTTCTCGAGATGATGGTATTCCTTCAGATATAGAATTCCATTGATTTATGCCATAGATGTTACTTAAGTCATTAATATCTCCTCCTGATAAGTAATAAAGATAAATTATTAAATTAAGTTTATAAAAAAAATACTTAAATGACGAGAATTAATTGGACCTGCTGCATGGTACAGAGTTGGCAACCAATCTGTTATGTGCATCAAACTATTTTCAATTCTTGGTTGATGCTTTATCAGTTTGCTCCATACAATTCCAACTGCTCTTATTCCTCCTTCCCATAAAGTTGCTTTAATACCTCTAAGAGGCCAGTTTGATCCAACTCCTTTTCTAAATCCGGTTTCTGCTCCATTATCCGAAGAGAAAACAAAGATGGTATTATCTAGCATCTTCTTATGATCGAGTGCTTCAAATATTTCTCCAACTAATTTATCTAATTCTGAAACTGTTGCTGAAATATTTAAATGTACATTTAAAATATCATAATTTCAATTAATTACAATAAAATTATTTAGAAAAAAAAATTGTTTTATAACAATTTAAGCAAAGAAAAAAAAAGTGATATACGGTATTTTATATATTATATATAACATAAAAACCTGCATAAATTCTTCTTTCTGGGTTTCTAATATGAGAGAATTTTGATATTTCAGTGAACGGAGCTTGAAAAAGCGAATATCTATTTCCTGAATGAGGAGCACTAGGAGCAACGTATAAAAATAACGGCTATAAATTTAAATATTTTTCTATGTGAATAAAAGATTTTAAAATAATATAACAAGGTAAAAAATTTATAAAGTAACCTGTGTCGTATTATGTTTTTTAATTATGTCGACAGCCCGATTTGTAAACAGATGAGTAGAGTAATGTCCTTTCAAATCACTGACGATTTTCATATTATCCCTTAATACGTCTCCCCATGCATACTATGAATTAAAATTTAAATTACATGTGATTCTTTAATTAATGCTTAATTAAAATTAATATTAAATTAATTAAACAAAAATTTTATTCTACATTTTACAATAATAATATTAAATATTTCTGATAAAAATATTATTAAAATATCTTATAAATTACCAAAATATGTAGACTCAATGTGAATGTCATATGTCAAAAATACAAAACTATGACATCCCAAATACTGTTTCTCGCTGTACTGAATCAAGTAAAATTATATACATTATGTAGTATTGTAATTAATTAATAAATTATTTGAAAATATATAAAGTTTGCCTTTATATAGATTAAATTTCTATGTCTCTTTAAATGCACAAGAGAATAAGCTATGGTTTTCCCAATTTTATTGTCATAGATATGCAATAAAATATAATGTAGAAAAATGCAAATGCACTTTATTAAACAGATACTGTACACTGTGTACAGAAATAATATTATGTACTATGTAACTAGCATATTCTATATGTAGCAATATAACACAGTTTTAAATAGAGTTATAGTCGACCCCCCTATAACACTATTGATTTTTCCATTTTATATGAATTCCATGTCACTTAGATTTTACAAATACGTGTGCTGGGCTGTGAACGGCTCACATATTTGTAGCCTAATCTAAGTGACTCGTACAACATGGAATTCATATAAAACGGAATTAACAACAGTGTTATGGGGGGTCGACTGTATTTTAAAAACAATTTTATTTTCGATTTAATTTATCCATCATCTCGTATGGAATTTGAAATTATTCTCTTATATTTAGTTTTAGGAAAATTTTAATGAGTTTTTCTTTCTTTAAAGGTAAAAAATGTATTTACTAATAAGATTTAAATGGATAATATAATAAAAACAACAAATAGGTGGTCAAAAACTTTTAATATACAAAACAAAATCTTGTTTATATGACTGAAGAAAAACGGTGTTTAAAAAACTATACTAATTCCAGAAGAAAGAAAAAAGTTAATGATTACATAAAATTAATAAAAATCATATTGTAATTGTTCTGTCACAATACCTATTTAGAATCAATCGCTTTCTAAACAAGAAAACACTTTTTGTAAAATGTCAATGCATCATGCCCATTACTTATCTTACTTTATTTAAAAGTTTCATCGCATCAATCTATCTTTTTCAGCTTAACTTTATTCTCCAATGGTAACAAATCAACTAATAGATATGACCATTTTTTTTTTACCTCTTTTTAAGATTGTATGTTTGCACACCGCCGATCTATCAGAATAGTACTGTTTGCAACAAATATATTTAGAGTTTATTCTGATTACTTTCATTTCAGATACTTTAAAATCTATTTTTGACTTAATGTGTGAATGAATTGCAAGTTTCCAATTATCAAGTTGCCAGTCTTTACCAAGAACGTGTATTTGTCCTATACGCTCAAAAATTTTATTGTAGTTTTATGGTAAAAGAAGCAGTTAGGTTTTTCTTAACATTTTTTCCATCCTTCCAAAGGTCCTATCTATAGTTAAATAACTGTAACCCCGTACCGGGATATGTAATTTCAAAAATTACACTATATATATCTGAAAGTTTACTTAGCATTACTAATAACGTGTAGTTTTTGTTTTGTGTATTTCATCCATCGCAAAACAAATAATAAATTTCCTTGATTTTTGGATTTTTCTTACGAAAATTTTCTACAAAATAAGGACGCGATTTCTTTCTAGCATATCTCTAAATACTTTTTGAACTTTTCAAAGAATGTGGCCATTATTAAATAAAAATTAAGAAAACAATCAAACACAATAGCAATTGCACTTCAGAAAGCAAACAAGTTCAATATAAATTACCTCTGTTATTAGATTCAATATATTCCCTATGCCCTTTATATTAATTTTCGTTGAACTTTAATAATTAATTCTCTAATTATTAGTTTATCAACAATTTGTATACTGTATTTAATAAATAATTTACTTTTTAGCCTATATTCTACAATATAGATAGTCAGGATTATTAATGACTTACCTTTAGTGTCGAATTTTCATAAACATCGAGAGAAGTGTGATCATAATAATCCATTTTAGCTAACCAAAAACCAAAATGAGAATCAAATCCGCGATAAGTCGGAAGATATTCCTTTTTATGAAATCCTAAATGCCACTTAAAAATTCAAAGTCAAATTAAGTAATATGTTATACTCTATTATAAGTATTAAACAATATTATTTACTAATAATATTTGAGAGCATCCTAAAATATTTAAAGTTAAACTGAAAATTAAAATGTATTTGAGCCTTGTATCATAAGAAATATATAGGATTAATAAAAGGCCAATTAACTGATATATATATATATATTTTTTTTTTTAAGGAAAAGTAATTGCATGTTCCAAATTATTATTGAAATAAAGTATTTGTTGCAATCTAAAAATCAATATTTCAATGAGATTTTTACTTAGAATACAAAGAAAACCTTAATGATTTATTATTTTATGTATTTAATTAATAATTTATATCAGATTTATAAAAATTCCCTACAGACATATTTTATCTGAACATCCTGTATCTAGTACAATGAACAAATACAATTCAGTTAACTTTTCTCTTAACTGATTTGTACTTTGTTACAGTTTATTGTATAATTTATTGTATAATAAATATAATTATCTTTTACGTCAACGACTTAATAATTCATTTCATTTAGAATTTTTTTTTTTTTTTGTCAAATCATGTTGACTTCCGAGTTTTATGTGTAATTGAAGTTACAATTCGATTTCTGAATTATAATCTTTATAAATAACTCCAAGTGAATTTTATCTTATCTGAAATATACAGAATAAGCCTAAAAGTCAATCATTAAATCATTAATACATATACAGTCGGCCCTCCTATAACGCGGTAGATACGTTACACTTTATAAGAATTTCGCGTTGTAGGAATCCTTAAATACATGAGCCAATCACAGCCTGGCACGTGTGCAGTTTACGGACTACGGCTGTTTGAAAGGTTTTCTTCCATAAAATTAATCGATTCTAGACTAATTTGACTCAACATTTCCAAAACACGTAAAATTTTTTGGGAATAATCCGTATAAACTATGCTATAAACAAAAAATTGTAGGATTACTTACCGAGTGTGCACCTTCGACGTCGTCATTGCTTAAGCTTGTTTTCGTCACGGAGCAGCGCACCGAACGGCGGCCGCGATTTCTGATAAGTTATTTTTCTGCGAAAAATTCGCTGAACTTTGGAGACATCATTAATAGAAATAATTTTTATGGCCGTTGAATAAGAAATGTTTTTTTTTCACAAGAAATGTATAAAATTACAGTACTGTATTAGACTTACGGTACCTAATTTATATATTGTACAGACGATAGTAAACTCAACTTACCCGCCTAAACTCTCTGTAGCGTGCAAGTACTTCTGCTGCTCCAGTAATTGGTCCAGATTCGACCAATCCTGTCGCGACACGAGTCGGCGATGACGTTTTACCGCATTCTACGAGTCCCTTTTAGCGTCTTTATACGAATACGGTCACAATTTTTTCGCCGCGATATACGAATCCGCATTATATAACCCTTTGTTATAGGGGGGTTGACTGTATATCACTACTTTAAAATTTAACGACTGTTACATCGAAAAGTTTGGTTATATTAATTAATACTTTACATAGAAAGTAGGTCAGTTCTGAGATTTATTTTATGTTTAAGCAAGTTTCCATTTTATAGAGGGTCTGTTTTAAATAGCTTTTACTGTATTAAATATCATTCTTTTTCTTACTCATTTTCCTATATTTGTGCTGATGAAATCGATATTATTTAACAACTTTTAAGTTTAGTAATGTATCTAACTTCTATCTTTTAAACAAGATCGATTTACTGGTACAATTGAATTAAAATTAGATTAAATAAACATTAATGTAAGCTTAAAGGAAAAGATCATCCACCTTTATTCCAATTGCTTATCAACGATAAATATTTTCTGATAAAATTAATACGTAAAAACTGTATAAAAATATGATTTAAAATGTAAACTTGTCACTTAATTGTTGATTTATTTTCTTGAAAAATTAAATCTTATCTTTACTGAACTTAATAATAATAATTTTATAATTTACGTTAAAGACAAATTTCTCTAATAAATATATTTATTAATAATTATTATATAAAATTTTTTTTTGAACCTTTCCAACAATGTGAGTTGAATAATTAAATTTTTTAAAAAATTCAGGCATGATCTTGACATCTAAAGGTAATCCAGCTGGTTGAGCTCCATATAATATCCAATGTTGGAGACCTATTTTAATAATTTCATATTTCTTTACTTATTATAAATATTCAAATCTAAATATAACGAATATTAATCATTAATTATATAATGTATAATAATATTTTTATACAAAACAATAGTACCTAAATGTATAGGATGTCGTCCACTGAGTAAAGCAGCTCTAGATGGAGTACATAAAGGCTGAACATAGTAATTATTCAGAATAACACCATTTGATGCTAAAACATCTATATTTGGAGTTGGAATTTGTAAGAAGCCGTGAAAACTCACATCATTCCATCCCTAAATAATAACAATTTTAATATAATATTCGAGAATAACAATTTAATTCTTGTAGAAATATTAAATCCATCACCGAGAATTGGTGAACGAAATTCTTATGAATAATTTATATTCAGAAAGCCGAAACGTGCGAATGTAATATAAAAAAAAAAAAAAAAACACTTCTTATCCATTTAACACTACAGGAAATATATATATTTTGTACTCTATAATATAGCTTAATTACAAAAATAATTTTCAAATTAATACATAATATGGAAAATACTTACAAGATCATCTGCTAAAATAAAGACTATGTGAGGCTTTGTACAATAAATTCTATTTGATGTAAAAATAAGTACAAGTATAAAAAATAAGTAGCAGCAGTTCATTATATCTAATAAGGTTTATATTTATCTCTCCACTGCACTGTTTTACAGATAAAATAATTTTTTTTTAAAAATTCTTTATAATCATCATTGACCTTGTTGTCAACATAGATTAATATGAGTAATTGCGTAAATTTGAGATTACTTTCATATACTAATTTTAGAATTAATTGTTTTTAATTTAAATTTTTGAATATTAAACAGTTAGCTTAAATAAAATCGGCATACTTTCCTTCTGTTATATATAACATGCGAGAAATTAAAAATGATAATACAAAACTTTAATTTCCTAATTTATGTATCTAAAATAGGTTAATCTGATTAACATTATAATCTTATAACAATGCCAGAAATTTATTAAATGGTAAATTTTTAAAAAGTAAAACGTCACTGACTGACTTTTTACTTTTTAAAAACATTTGTTCAATGTGTTTCCAAAATGGAAACACATTGAACAAATGTTGTGAATAAAAATCTTTTGCGTGTTTCCATTTTGTGTTTCTTGTTCTTCGTGCACCATTTTTTCATCTAGTGGTAAAAATTCGAACTAAATAATTTTTTTGCATTTTCCTTTTCCTCATGGTCCATATAACATATATACTAAGTTTCATTAAAATACGTCCACGAGAACGGGCTCTAGACAGGTCTGAGTAGGGCAACTTTAATTATAACCACCCTGTATTGGTACATTCTGTTCAAAAAGCTCTGTCTAAGATTCTACTTTTGCAAAACTTATTTTGCAAGCAATTATTCATTTAGAACACTGTGCTGCAATAGTCAGCATAGTTTGTGATGGTACCAGCAAAAACAAGGTGCCATCACTTGGTTGTAATGAATGCAAAAATATTCGGACATTTTTTAATTTTTATTTATTTATTTATCATTAATGTATCAATACTATAATGCGTATATGCCTGATCCTGTTGGCATAATCAGGCTGAGTAAACAAAGGAATATTAAATACAAATTACATAGAATTTACATTAGTATAACACATAGAATATATATTGAGTTTATAACAGTTATACAACACCAATAATAGATGAAATTAAAGTTTTTTTACTTGGAATTACTATTTATACATCTAACATTTTTTAATACAGTTTTTTAAAAAATATGATGGTGTATTTATAACAATAGGACATAAATGTGTAAAACAGTTTATATACAATATATACAAATATACAGGTCATTAATAATTGGAAGCTTTATGTAGAGAATGCGTTTTAGAAAAATAGAACATAGTATACTATAATATATGGTACTTTAAAACAGTGTATTATGTGAGAAACAGAAAAACGAGTAATAACATTCAAGTAGACGCGTTGAAGTGTGTTGCATAGTGTTTACAATAATATACATTCGATTAAGAAAGAAAGTGTAATACAAAGAATGTACTGTACGTTTCGAAATATCTTTATAAATTTTAAACACGGTAAAAAGCGGTTTTCGTTGGCCGGTTCGAGACCCGAGAATCTATCACACCTTAAAAATGGGTCACTACTTACCAATTCTTTTACCTATGTTTCGAAATAGTTTAATAAATTTTGAGTCCGGTAAAAACGGGGTTAACGTCAGCCGATTCGGGCCATAAGTGTGCACACGGTCGACCCAAAATTCTGTACCAAAATTCGTAAATTTAGAGTCTAGAGTATCCAGAAAATGGGGAAAAAGAGTCTCTTCAAGTATTTGATATATTTCGAAATACCTTAATAAAAGAGCGCTGAGTAAAAGAGAAACAAAAAATTTTATTGAACAAGGAAGAAAATCAGTTGCTGTGGTATGCATCCTGTCATTGTCGCGTGGATCTCTATGTTCTTTTCTCCACCGAGGAATTCTTGAAGATTTGTTTGTCATTTTCATCTTTTTTTTTTGAATTTACATCCATAGGCAAAGGCGGCTGGAGGTTTTGCGGGACGTCAGGAAAAAGTTATTAGTGGAGGTCAATAATATTCGTCAGAAGAAATATTTTAAATGAAATTTTCTTAGAAATTTGAAAGTGTGAGGTCTCTCTGAGCACGGGGCCTGGTATGAGGCTAAAACACCGACATTTGAGTTAGCCTTGTTAGTCGGTTTTTAAAAGAATCGGGATAGTCAGGTGTCAGGATCATTTCAAAAGAGCACATCGTAACGTAATTAAAAATAAAAATACGTTGTGAATTACATAGTAAACTGGGCATTGAAAGGTTTTGTTTATTTTGAAACATTCTTTTAACATTTCTTTCTTCTGAACATCCTCAGAAAATAACTTTTGACCGGAGTTTCTACGAGTTATTAGGATAATCTCATTTAGTTATTTGCAAGTGAGATTTATGGCTGAGTTTAGATATTGTTATAAATAATTTGAAAATATAATAAATAGCAAATAAAACTTTTAACAACCAAATCCGAGTTTCGTCACTTTTCATCGAACCCACGCCATATTAATCTTTAAGATAAGGTGTGTTTGTCTGATATATGTTAAGGTTTGCGTAGGGGCCTGATAGAATCTAATCCCTATCTGAAACGGATAAAACTTTATATGAAGCGAACTCTCCATAATATTTATGTTGTGTATTGAGAAGAGTAACAAGAAGAAAAACTGAAACTGCTGTTGATGTTAAAAAAAAAAGGAGAAAAATATCATGGATTAAATAAATGTCATTGCTCAAACAATTAGAAATGTGTTAAAACATAATGGATTAAAAGCAGCAGTTAAAGAAAAACCCTTACTAACTAAAAAGCACAAGAGAACGTAGACTTAAATTTGAAGATAAGTATAAAAACTGGATTGTGGGTGATTGGAGACATGTAATTTTCTCAGATGAAACAAAAATTAACCGTTTAAGAAGTGATGAACACAAAGTGTTGGAAAAATAAAAAATTACATTTAGGCTATACAGCCACATCATGTGATACCAACTTTAAAAGGTGGAAGGAGTTCATGAATGGTATGGATTTATATAACAGTGTATGAACCTGGAAATTTTGTTCGAATTAATAAAATATTCTGGGATTGCTGAAAAGTGTTGTAATTAAATTTCTTATAAATTTTATACTTAATTTAATAGAAAATATATTAAGTCAATAAACTAATTTTTGTAAAAGTATTTGAACATTTTTTTCAGTCACTGTTATGTACAAAGATGCATCTTATCGTATAATATTATCACGTTTCTGGTGTTTTTACGCCTTTTTCCATTACTTAAATTAATATTTTCTTTTATAACTGATGGTATTTATTTAGGTTTAGTATTTTACGCACAAACAGAGAATTTAAAAACATCAGGATCCAGACTCTATATTGGTTTCAGTTTCGTTATATATTGTCAAAAATTTTACATTCAGTACAAATCGCGTATTGTACACGACTTTTTTCTCTTCTTTCTTCGTGCCCGCGTTATAACTTATTTTCGTTCCATCTTGATAATTTTTTTCAAAGATATATTTTAGAAAATTGATTTTAATTTATATATCATTACTTTTGCTCTATAATTGATTTCATAATAATCAATGTGTACACTTAAAAATCGAAATTACCCGTGCATCCAAGGAGTATCCTAAGCATTCGCCTCCATAAGCTTCTCCTCTAAAACACAGATGCTAAGTACAGGCCTATTGTATTGCATTTCAGAATTACTTAATTTATATAATAATTCTTAGACTATGGGGCACGTTTTGATTCATTTTTGAACCAAAATATTCCGAAAGTTTTAGGACATATTTTCTACATGAGATATCATATTCTTATCTGCATACATGGTTCTTCGTATGTAAATCCGTATTTCATAACACATCCGAAAGAAAGGATTGTTTCATTTTATATAAATTAGGAGAAATAATATTTTATATAAAAAGGAATGTACCATATATAAATTAATTATCCAAGCATTATAATACGTAATAAAGGGGCAGGAAGCATATTATTAAAACCATATATTATCTGCATACAAGAATATGATACAGACTGAAAATTTATATGATATATTGAAGTTTAGAAAAAAATATATATACTATATTTAAATAAGACAAGATTATAACAAAATATCAGAAATTTTCCAACTGTATAATATCCAATTTAAGATTGCAAGATTCAATTAGATATAAAACTTAATGAATTAAAAACACAATGGATCTTAAATTACATAATGTTTTTTTTATTTAAAACATATTTATAAAATTACAATCATATAAAAAATTCATTTTGAAATAAAAATTTATCATATAGTACAGATTGTTTGAAACTTTACAATTTTAATTCTTAACAATTAAAATGCCACACAAAGTACCACTCATTACTGAATTTTTGCTGCATGCCTAAGATTAATCTTAAGTCAATATACCATGTAAAAATATCTATTTTCTTCAGATTTTTTAGATTAGAAGTACCGTAGCCATTTTTAACGCGTAACTACAGCACCAACAATAACAAACAACGTTACCAGAAAAGCTTTGACGTTGGTGTATTAATATTATATAGTATAGTCGTTTATAATTTAAAAAAATATGCTTAGGTTATTAAGAATTTAAACGGTGATGTTTCAAAGTACTGTAAACACACAGTATCATACAAACATATTTGAATAATAATTACAAAATTCAAAACATTAAAATGAAAATTTAATACATTATTTATCATGTAATATTGAAATAAGTAAAAATATGAATCTTAATTATTTATACATTTAGTTTATAAACGTGTAGTATACTTTTTACTTATTCGAAAAGTGATTAAGGCAGTCGCTATAACACACAAAATTCCTATGACAAAAATCACACACCCACCTATGAAAAACTTGCTCCTTTTAGAATTTTGATTGCACAAAGTCTTGATAGAAAGCGTTAACACGTTTCTTCCTCTGTCAGATTTAGGAGTAGCGCAGATACAATCTATACAATTTACATTCGCTTTCTTAAACCAGTCATAAAACAGGTTAATAGAACAGGGCGAACAGTCAAATGGATTTTCACTTAATTCTACTTGAACTCCTAAAAACGATTTTGCCATTTCAACAGTCACTACTGAAATCTCATTTCTGCTCAAGTCTAGATATTTTGTTTTCGAAAAGTCCATAAGATATTCCCATTCTTTGATGCTGTTGTGCGCTAAAATCATATTTTCTAGCCGAACGTTACTTGATTTAGATATATTCTTCAAGAAATTATACGACATGTCTAATGTTTGTAAAAATACAATGGGATGCAAGTCAGGAATCACAACAAAATAATTATTCGTTAAATTAAGCATTTTAAGTGAAGTAATACCAACGAAAAAGTTTTTCGGAAGAGAAGAAAGATGATTTTCAGATAAGTCTAAATATTCCAGAAATATGCAGTTGTTAAATACACCTGGATGAAGATTGATCAAAGAGCATTTAGATAAGTCGAGATGCTGAAGTTTCGGATATGAAATTAATGAAGATGATTTCAGTGTAAGCAAACGATTACCTCGAAGTATTAATACAGTAATATTAGATGCTGACGATGTGTTTAGATTATAAATATGGTTTTCAGACAGATCGAGTATTCTTAAAGTAGGTAGAAGTGATATAGTTTCAGGTACGGACTGTAATTTGTTGTGACTGAGATTCAATTCTCGCAAATGGTTAAAGTCTTCAAAAGCATTTGATTCAATAAACTTTATGTCGCCTTGACTTAAATCCAAACTAATTAATGATGGAAATTCTGGACATTGATCTTTCTCTATTATATCAAAATAATTTTTAGAAAGATCCAATTTTGTAATATTGAATAATGAAAGAAATTGGAAAAAGATTATTGGTGTTTCAACGGCTGACGTAAAATCAACTTTGAGAATATCTATAACAGCATCTTTTACAAAGAAAACCTCGTCCAAACATATCATTATGCATTGTAATAAACTGCAATTATGGGGATCATCCTGAAACCAGAATTTGGTGAATATCATTTCTTTAATTGCGTCAATATAAATAGTGCAATTTTGGCTTTCATTAATTTGTTTATCATGAAAAGATAAAACACTGCAATATCCGTTACTAGAAGCAATTGCGTACGCTCTTTTCTTATGGAATTTAATTACGAATTTCATTTCCTCTATTTCACTGAAACCCTGATTCAAGAAATCTGGTGATAATATAAAATGATTATTATGATTTTCATAATCAACAGGTTGACGGGACTTAAAAATTGTGATATTTCCTAATAGTAAACAAACGGGTTTTGTAAGGTTTTGTACAGGTTCTTCACTCACTAATCCAACATTCAATAAAAGAACATCTTTCCAAAATCCGAATAATTTACTGTAATGCATCATATAAGTATACATCTCACATTCGGCGTGCAAACGACTTTGAGAATCAAATTTTGTGATACATCCGGCCAAGTTTATTTTTTCTGTTTGATCTACGTTTTTGCATGTATTATTGTGAACGTTCCAAGAAGAATATACTACAGCGATATGAATGTGTAAAAATAAGATGCACAAGATAGACCTACCTGAAAATATATATAAATTTATATTTATAATATTAAATAGAATTAACCGTAATTTATTCTATTTNTGAAAGTCTTAATTACATCTTTAGAAAGACTAGAAATTGTTGAAAAAAATTTACTATTTAGTTAATAAGCATGGAAATATTCAGCGCTATTACTTTCCCGGCTGTTATATATAACATAGGAAAAGTATGGCGATCGATCAAAAATTGACTCTACCCCCAAGAATTTTACATCTTTGAACTCGGGGGACCTTGAAACAACGAAAAATTCAAAAATTAGGGGGTAATTTCTGTATGTATGGATGTTAGTGTGTTTATAGGGGGCGAGCACGATTTTGTTCACCCTCTTTGAAGCTTAATAACTCCTGTGCTTTTTGTCGAAAATTTTTAAAATTTTGCATGAGGTTTGTTTGTTAAGGGGGTTGATTTTATTAAATTTTGGTGGTTAAAGGTAGAGGGAGTGAAAAGATAAAGGAGATCGTGTATATCTCCAGTAGGGTCGGACTTAATGACGTTTTTAATCGTTATTAGCATTTTTGGAATGTTTTTTTTATTATTCCTACCCTCAAAATTAATATTTTTGCCATTTTATAATAGTAAAAAAATATGAAAAGTTTTTTAATAAAATATGATAACAGATGACGCCACCAAATGCTGCCGGGAAAGTCAAGCAACTCGTTGCTGAATTTTATTAATGTGGAAATTAAAACTTTTATCTTAATGTATTTTCATGTTTATTAATTGCTAATATGCACCAGAAAAAGAATTAATATTTTTAAATATAACGATATAATATATATAAATCATTATATTCTCAAGGATCAAACCAAATCTGACTTCAATAGCATGAAGTCAGATTTTTGTGAAAATCTTGAAAATTAATTTTTATTATCTGTTTTTTTGTTTAATCTTTGGTTTTAACGTTATAAATAATGCTTTACTGTACGCATTAGATTACTATATTTATTCCAAAAACTAAAACTTTCCTACCTTAATAGAAGATTTTATAATTTTGCTTTTTATCTCTGAAATGGAACTCTATAACAACTCTATTGTTCAACTTTTGTACAAATTTTTAGTCCGAAAATATATAATGTCCGAAAGTTGGGGAACTGCTTATAATAAAGAAAAACAAATTTATGTTTTGTAAAAATGTATTATTTATTTACTTATTTATTATTTTTATTCTATCCAGAATCCATGAAATTCTTTTGTCTTCAATAGTTACACCATTTCACATTTGAAATCCACCATATTCTACATAAAATAAAATATAAAATAGATAAATATAATACTAAACTATGTAATAAACTTAATTATATAGCAATGAAATGCCACTGTAATAAATTTATTCTAACAATATATTGAAAGTAAGGATGAAAACAGAAATTTTTGTGATTTGCTCAACATAACAAATTACATTGTTCTTAATCAATAATGATGCTTTACTTCTTCTTTCTGGCCCTCATAGTCCTTGAAAGACCTTGGCCTCATCCAGGATTTTCACCCATTCCTCTCTATCTTGAGCCTTCCTTCTCCAGCAGCTCACACCCATCTTTCTCAAATCAGACTCCACATCCTCATCCCATCTTTTTCGTGGTCTCCCTCTCAACCTTCTCTTCTCTGGTCTTTACTAACGATGCTTTACTAACAATAATAATTTTATAACATAAACAGAAATTATTTACCTAGTTTATGTTGCTGTATTGTGTCATATGTGTTTTCTTCCTATCACACTATATAACTTAGGAAAATTTAGTGCATAGATTTAGTCACAGCTTTATTTTATCGTGAACGTAGTAGCGTTAAAACTGGTTTTTCTCAAAAGCCACCTATTATAGTAATAATAAAATTATTTTCTGAAAATTTAATTTCAATTTTTAATTATGTTCAATAATATCTTATTAAATTAAACTGTCAATATTCAACAGTAAAGAATTGTGTCTACTCAAAGTGATTATCTTACACAGATGGTCACTGTATTAACATTAAATTTATTAAGGGATGAGTAAACTGTATTTAGCAAAATAAATACTGCGAAGCAAGCGAATTATTTGACTTTGTAAAATTTAAATAATTTAAAAAAATGAAACTATTTGTTCAAATGATTTAAATGTCAATAAAAAACTTCTCATTCTAGTTATATATAAATGAAGTGTATAATATAAGTGTAAACTAAATTTCGTAATTATTATTAATAAAAATATTATTTTAAATTGCTAATTAAAGTAATTAATATGTAAATATTGATTAATTACAGAAAATTCTCTTGTATCAGATCTAAATTGATTAGACGTATCAGTTTAATCCGGCAAATAAAAAACAAATGCGCTGTTTTATTTATGATACAAAATATATCATTAAGTTGGGAAGTTGAGATGCTCCCCCTTTCGATACTTGCACAGGGGACTGTTTCAAAGTATTATAAGATGATTTTTTTATTAAGTGACAATCGTTTGAAAGGATATCAATTTCCTCCTTTCTTTTTCGCCGCTGAGCATTTTGCTGATAGTTTTCCTCCTTTTATCGCACTTAAATTGAGTATTTTGTGTATTTTTATACCTTTTATAAATCTAAAATTAAGTTTGTAATTAATAATTTTTTAATATTTAAATATCTTCTTCCTCGGATGTAAAATGACAAGAAAGATTTCATTATTCACGAAGGTGAGGAAGAGATGCGGTATCGACATGACAGCTTACCAGTTTAAAAAAATGTCAAAGATAACGAAGTCAAAACTGAAGAAATTAGTAAATAGTTTTAAAGAATTATGATCGACGTATTTAAACATTTACTTTTGAGATGTAAAGTGTTTGATGCTACCATAAATTTACATGAAAATAATATATCTTTACTTTTTTAGCCCTTTTTTAAAATAAAATTTGCACCTCAACGTCTCAACTTTATACTTCACAAATAAACAAAATTATACTAGTATTAATATAAAATCACAAATGTATTTAAAAATACTTACATTATAGAGTTTTTTCGTCACTGATTGGTGTATGCCTACAGTCTGCTTTCCTCCAATTTATTAAACAAATTTTTTGACGTTCAAGTGACGTTCGTCACTTGAAAGATGGAAAAATGTGTATAATTTGTGCCCTCTATTATTCGACCTATTTGGCACAAATCAATCGACATACTGTTCATCAAAACTAAATTGCTTCGAAAAGGTGTTTACCATATATCGATTACTTCAATATCATAAACGAAATAGCGGTTTTTTAAGCACTTCATCCTCCTTTTCTTCTCCCCTCTGTTTAATGTGGAGCTTTGGCCGATTGCCTTTTTCTCAGACACTCATATAGACAGGATTTTAATGGTTTAACCCCCATTTGGTAATTCAAACAGAAATATAGGCTATTACTACGTTACTAAAACAGTGTATTGCATATTAATTTGTACCCGTTCAGTTATTCCTTAGTCTATTGTATTGTGTTACTTTATTACTTTATAAAAAAATTAAGAAAAAACGAACTTAAGAGAAAATCTGGAAAAGGAGTCGATGGAGAAATTGTTTCAAAAGTAAATTCAATTGGACTTCGAACTCACATTTGAGCTATAAATAAATACTTGGCTTTATTTATAACTCAAATGTGAGTTCGAAGTCCAATATATTCGCGAAACACGGTTTCAAAAACAACAACTAAATTCAAGTAAATTCATATGCAAAATTCTGATATAAAATTTTAATTTATAAACATTGTTTTCCTAATAGTACATTATTGTTATTTAGTTGAGGTAAGAACATGATAACGAAATATAAGAAACAATGTAGCCCAGGGATGGCGAACCTTTTTGAGTCCGCGTGCCCATATTGTAAGCATACTTTAAACATGTGTATAAAATTAGGTTCGATGATTGAGATCGATATTTATAATATATAAATTATTTTCTCTCTCTTCCTCTGTGGGGTATAATAAATCTACTAATAATATGTTTCTAAATATACTACATAAAATTAAAACTTGATATATTAAAATAACTGAATATATAAATTGTACTTATGTATCAATATACAGTTGTTTATAAAATTATAGTATATTTTTTACTCATTCGCAAAAGAATCGCCGCAGTCATTACAATACATAAAATTCCAATAACAAAAAGAACACATCCAGCTATATAAAATTTATCCGATTTAGAATTTTGAATGCACAAAGTCGTGCTAGAAAATGTTAACACGTTTCTTCCTCTGTCAGATTTAGGAGTAGCGCAGATACAATCTATACAATTTACATTCGCTTTCTTAAACCAGTCATAAAACAGGTTAATAGAACAGGGCGAACAGTCAAATGGATTTTCACATAATTCTACTTGAACTCCTAAAAACGATTCTGCCATTTCAACAGTCACTACTGAAATCTCATTTCTGCTCAAGTCTAGANAAAAATTTATCATATAGTACAGATTGTTTGAAACTTTACAATTTTAATTCTTAACAATTAAAATGCCACACAAAGTACCACTCATTACTGAATTTTTGCTGCATGCCTAAGATTAATCTTAAGTCAATATACTATGTAAAAATATCTATTTTCTTCAGATTTTTTAGATTAGAAGTACCGTAGCCATTTTTAACGCGTAACTACAGCACCAACAATAACAAACAACGTTACCAGAAAATCTTTGACGTTGGTGTATTAATATTATATAGTATAGTCGTTTATAATTTAAAAAAATATGCTTAGGTTATTAAGAATTTAAACGGTGATGTTTCAAAGTACTGTAAACACACAGTATCATACAAACATATTTGAATAATAATTACAAAATTCAAAACATTAAAATGAAAATTTAATACATTATTTATCATGTAATATTGAAATAAGTAAAAATATGAATCTTAATTATTTATACATTTAGTTTATAAACGTGTAGTATACTTTTTACTTATTCGAAAAGTGATTAAGGCAGTCGCTATAACACACAAAATTCCTATGACAAAAATCACACAACCACCTATGAAAAACTTGCTCCATTTAGAATTTTGATTGCACAAAGTCTTGCTAGAAAGCGTTAACACGTTTCTTCCTCTGTCAGATTTAGGAGTAGCGCAGATACAATCTATACAATTTACATTCGCTTTCTTAAACCAGTCATAAAACAGGTTAATAGAACAGGGCGAACAGTCAAATGGATTTTCACTTAATTCTACTTGAACTCCTAAAAACGATTCTGCCATTTCAACAGTCACTACTGAAATCTCATTTCTGCTCAAGTCTAGATATTTTGTTTTCGAAAAGTCCATAAGATATTCCCATTCTTTGATGCTGTTGTGCGCTAAAATCATATTTTCTAGCCGAACGTTACTTGATTTAGATATATTTTAATTATGTTCAATAATATCTTATTAAATTAAACTGTCAATATTCAACAGTAAAGAATTGTGTCTACTCAAAGTGATTATCTTACACAGATGGTCACTGTATTAACATTAAATTTATTAAGGGATGAGTAAACTGTATTTAGCNCACTACTGAAATCTCATTTCTGCTCAAGTCTAGATATTTTGTTTTCGAAAAGTCCATAAGATATTCCCATTCTTTGATGCTGTTGTGCGCTAAAATCATATTTTCTAGCCGAACGTTACTTGATTTAGATATATTCTTCAAGAAATTATACGACATGTCTAATGTTTGTAAAAATACAATGGGATGCAAGTCAGGAATCACAACAAAATAATTATTCGTTAAATTAAGCATTTTAAGTGAAGTAATACCAACGAAAAAGTTTTTCGGAAGAGAAGAAAGATGATTTTCAGATAAGTCTAAATATTCCAGAAATATGCAGTTGTTAAATACACCTGGATGAAGATTGATCAAAGAGCATTTAGATAAGTCGAGATGCTGAAGTTTCGGATATGAAATTAATGAAGATGATTTCAGTGTAAGCAAACGATTACCTCGAAGTATTAATACAGTAATATTAGATGCTGACGATGTGTTTAGATTATAAATATGGTTTTCAGACAGATCGAGTATTCTTAAAGTAGGTAGAAGTGATATAGTTTCAGGTACGGACTGTAATTTGTTGTGACTGAGATTCAATTCTCGCAAATGGTTAAAGTCTTCAAAAGCATTTGATTCAATAAACTTTATGTCGCCTTGACTTAAATCCAAACTAATTAATGATGGAAATTCTGGACATTGATCTTTCTCTATTATATCAAAATAATTTTTAGAAAGATCCAATTTTGTAATATTGAATAATGAAAGAAATTGGAAAAAGATTATTGGTGTTTCAACGGCTGACGTAAAATCAACTTTGAGAATATCTATAACAGCATCTTTTACAAAGAAAACCTCGTCCAAACATATCATTATGCATTGTAATAAACTGCAATTATGGGGATCATCCTGAAACCAGAATTTGGTGAATATCATTTCTTTAATTGCGTCAATATAAATAGTGCAATTTTGGCTTTCATTAATTTGTTTATCATGAAAAGATAAAACACTGCAATATCCGTTACTAGAAGCAATTGCGTACGCTCTTTTCTTATGGAATTTAATTACGAATTTCATTTCCTCTATTTCACTGAAACCCTGATTCAAGAAATCTGGTGATAATATAAAATAATTATTATGATTTTCATAATCAACAGGTTGACGGGACTTAAAAATTGTGATATTTCCTAATAGTAAACAAACGGGTTTTGTAAGGTTTTGTACAGGTTCTTCACTCACTAATCCAACATTCAATAAAAGAACATCTTTCCAAAATCCGAATAATTTACTGTAATGCATCATATAAGTATACATCTCACATTCGGCGTGCAAACGACTTTGAGAATCAAATTTTGTGATACATCCGGCCAAGTTTATTTTTTCTGTTTGATCTACGTTTTTGCATGTATTATTGTGAACGTTCCAAGAAGAATATACTACAGCGATATGAATGTGTAAAAATAAGATGCACAAGATAGACCTACCTGAAAATATATATAAATTTATATTTATAATATTAAATAGAATTAACCGTAATTTATTCTATTTAAATTTATATAGATTGCGTTTCATTGTCAAGCAGCTAAGTAAGCTAACCCATGACATAGATCGTTTCATATGAAACAATCTATGTCATTGGCTTGCTTACTTAGCTGCTTGACAAGGAAGCGCATCCATTGTTTCATTCTAGATCATTTACTATCCCATAAAAAAACTGGCGAAACCAGATTCAAATAGTAAAGCTCAACAAAAACATCTAAATGAAGAAAACGTTTGAAAGTTGTAATGTGGCATAAGAATACTGGAAGCAGATTTGACAGTAAGACTCAACATGTTAAAGTGCACATTACACAGACTACAAATACAGGATGTATTGAATGGAGCAATGTCACCACGATAATAAAACGAAAAAATGAGCACCGTCACAGAGAAAAGCTCCGAGCTTTACTTCGTGTGTTAAAGTAGTTGCACCTACATTAATTTGGCTGAACGTTAGAACATCTTTAAGCAGTATTAGTGAAAGAACTTTGAAGCACAGAGTAAAGCTGGAAGCCTTTTTCTGTGACGAATATTATGCTTTCAATTTATTATCATGGTGACATTGCTTCATCCAAAACTTCCTGTATTTGTAGTCTATATAATATGCACTTTATTCACATCTTGAGTCTTACTGTCAAATTCGTTTCCAACATTCTTAGGACCCAACGTTTAAAACTTTCCTTTACTTAGATGTTTTTGCTGAGCTTTACTTTCTCAATCTGGTTTTATCAGTTTTTAATGAGATTTTCAGTATTTTACAGTCATCAATAACTTCATAATAGAATAGTTTTCATAATGATTCTATATTCATCTGACAGTCAAGTGATAGCCTGCAGGTTTTCCTCGGATGGTCTCAGAGATTAAGTATGAAATATTTCGCGAAGATCGGGCAAGAGTTAGTAAGAGGAGGGTAAAATTAGGGGCGGGCTGAGGTGTCCAGGTTTTTGTGGTACTGTATTTAGCCTACAACGGTAGACAAAAAGGTTCAAAACTCGGAGAGTCAAATTTGAGACGATTCCAATACTTTCTCCTGATATTAGATATATATAACAGCCGGAAGGTAAAATGGGACATTATTTTATAAATATTCTATTTTTAAATGAGCAATTATTTATTGTAACATCGTCACAATACCAGTCTACAAGTTTTCCAAATTGCATCCCAATCGTTGGAGATATTAACGGCCAAATTAATTAAACATGTGGCTGAGATCATCGGGAAAAACCCATTTACACTACTGTATAGCGTTGAATAAAATACTATCAGTAAGTTTTTCCTATTTATTTAAGAAAAGATAAGGAATATAATTTAAAATTTTAACAACTATATTATAATATATAATAATATAATAATAAATAACNACATTAACTTAATATTTATAAATAATTTAATACTCACACATATTGAAAATTTCTTGTTGTTTAGTAACTTTATTATTATTATTCGAGACGAATAAGTATGCTACTTTACTATAGAATTCTGTTTATTTAAAAATGAAAGTTTTAGTAATTAATAAGTCACGAGTGTCGAATGACGTGGCTTCCTTTTAAAACATATCTACTTCCTCCATTTACACAAAGTAACTAATACAGTCACCTCACACTTCATTTTAATTTGTATCTCTTACATATTACACAACGTAAAAATACAAGAGCAAAAATTATAAAAATGGTGTACTAAAAAAATTACAGTTTATTCATAAAAAAAAGACATTCAGATTAATATTTTAGTCATAGAATCTTTCAAATGGAATGCACAATTAAAGTATTATTTATAAACGAAATATGTAGTCTTGGAGATTGCGAATGCTTCGTATAGTGAATACAGTACTGACCCAAGGTCATAGACCACCTTTTTCGTCAATAATTGAGTCTTTTTATGAAAACATTTTAATAAAAATTTCTTAAAGTAGGTAGAAGTGATATAGTTTCAGGTACGGACTGTAATTTGTTGTGACTGAGATTCAATTCTCGCAAATGGTTAAAGTCTTCAAAAGCATTTGATTCAATAAACTTTATGTCGCCTTGACTTAAATCCAAACTAATTAATGATGGAAATTCTGGACATTGATCTTTCTCTATTATATCAAAATAATTTTTAGAAAGATCCAATTTTGTAATATTGAATAATGAAAGAAATTGGAAAAAGATTATTGGTGTTTCAACGGCTGACGTAAAATCAACTTTGAGAATATCTATAACAGCATCTTTTACAAAGAAAACCTCGTCCAAACATATCATTATGCATTGTAATAAACTGCAATTATGGGGATCATCCTGAAACCAGAATTTGGTGAATATCATTTCTTTAATTGCGTCAATATAAATAGTGCAATTTTGGCTTTCATTAATTTGTTTATCATGAAAAGATAAAACACTGCAATATCCGTTACTAGAAGCAATTGCGTACGCTCTTTTCTTNTTGTAAAATTATATTCGTTTACATAATGATTATCTGTTCCGTACCTGAGTCAGTTTCCTTACAGAAGAAACTGAATCATTATGAAATCCTTTATATGATAAGATGTAATTAAAACTAATTATTTACATACATATCGAGACGGACCACCTCCAAAAATTTCTGGGCTATTTTCTCCCATCTGGATTCAATTCTCGGGTCACCCCGGAGCAGTATGCTGCCATCCTAGCCTCTAGGCCATCCGCCGTAAATCTCGAGGTACTGTCAGAGGAGGACACGCATCCTTAATAAATCGTTTTAATTTTATATAACGTTTTGTTCGGCGCTTGTTTTGATAAAAATCATTACTTTTCTTATCAAAACGATTTTATTAAGACTGCGCGTTGCTATCCTCCTGCGGTAGCACCCTCATATTAGATACTACGAACTCCCGTTGGAATGATGTTTAATTTTTTTAAATGTATATATATTATATTCACTTAATTGCTGCGACAATGATATAGCGCGAAATAGACGCACTATTATGTGCCATTAAGCTGTTACTTAGATAGGTTTCGCCTGCGTGCAGTGGTGTTTCCTCCTGTACACTATACTTTTCCTGTTATCAATAGAGTCGTGCCGGTTACCTATCTAACTCCGTTCTGGGAAAAGTTCTGAAATAAAATAACGTGACTTGTGATGCAAACCGGAAATTCATATATAGTTAATCTGGGCCACCTGCTCATGACTTTCATGTATCTTACTCCGTTCACGAGATTAAGGAAGACATACAATGGGAATTTATAGGTCTACAATTTTTTCAAATTGCAGCCCAATAAGTATCCTCTAGTAATCGAGTGAATAAAAACCACCGAACACTAATAGTCGGTCGTGGATTCGCGCATCGCCAACGTAGAATTTTCTGGGTTTCATTCACGTTAGTAACACCTAAATAGGGGCAGCTTTACATAAAAGTCTTCTCGGGATGCACCCTCCTTGGAAGATCACTCACGTGTCTCGTCGACGTTACCAAATATACCAAACCAATTCTATTAATTTTTCTATAAAAGCTATATTTAGGAGGACATACTTTCACGTATAGTTTATGTAATCTGTTGCAAAAATATAAACACTTTATTATCACATAAAAGCAATTATTCTAGCAGTTTAGAAGATTTTTTTAATATTTAAACAAGTTTTATATGAAGTCTTTCAGACGTTAAGGTTAGTAACTTCGATCAGAAGCGGGGCCATCATAACACGGATCCCTTTTCAAATATTAATAGTACAGCGGTATTAATTAGTAGTCATTGACCATCCTCTCTTCTGGGAGGCGGTCAACGACTGTTTTTGGTCGAATTACTTCAACCACCTTCCTCAACAGTCTTTTTTTTCTATCGGACCAGCGGTATGCTGGCATTTGAATAGGAAAATTACAAAATACAAGGTTACCGAACTCTATATTGTTTTCGTTTTAATGTTTTTATATTATAGTATTTGATTTATATTTATAAAGGTTATCTTACGTAAGAATTTATCACACCACGTGCCCAATCTAACACATCTTAAAAATTCTTTAAATTGTGTACAATGGAGGAATAAAGAATTTTTAAAATGTGTTAGACTGGGCACGTGGTGTGATAAACTCTTACTTAAGATAACCTTCATAAATACAAATCAAATACTATAATACTGTATAATATAATAGAAGAGTTAGAAGTACGAAATAATCTAATAATCTTAATGTTTGTTATTATTTTTTTCCCGGGTAACGCTGGACTTATCTGCTAATTTAGTATATATAAAAAGAAATGTATTTGTGAGATATAGTGTTGCCTTTGTTAAATAAATTCTATCAATTGTTATACCAACTGTGTGAAAAACAATTGATGAATTTAGTGAAAAAAAAAATTAAAATACCGTGCAACTTATATTTTTGCTGTTCTTCAAAACAGAAAATTAAACTTAAAAATAAAAAGAATGACTTAAAAATAAAGATTTTGTCGAATTACTAATAAAACTTCAATTTTTACGTTCAACTTATCACAAAATTTAATAATATAACACTTTGAAAAACGTCTCTCGAAGTAGTGAAGATTTTATACTGAATATATTACTCGAAATAAATTTTAATACACATAAATTAAATATAAACTGCATTGCATCACAAGCAATTATATCGTATTTTACGTATGACATTAATTTAAAATTGATTTTTAATTTTAATTGTATAGCCAAACAAAATTGATTAGTAACTAAGATATTAATTAAATTTCAATAAATACTGTATTTACAGATTACCTAAATAATTTTCACACGTAATTTCAATTCGGTTTAACTCTTTTGAGAAAATAATTTCTTCTCATTCAAAATACAGTCAAACCTCGGTTTTCGAACGCCTTAATTTTAGAGCAATTCGGTTCACGAACAGAATTTCGAATTAATGTTTACCCCTGTTGCCGTACGATAACTCATTCGCCGAACAAGTTACTCAAATTAGAGACTCAGACGATCATTCTTATACTTTCCATGTTAAAAAAAAAAGTCGACGAAATCAAATTAATTAATAAAACTCGAGTTAATTGACATTCACGTAATATAAATGGTATTTAATAATTCGTGTTTAAATATGCTAAAGTTAAATTAAATAACAAAATTTATTAATATAATATTATAATATATAATACAATTATATAAATATATATAATATTAAATTGCATCTGTAAGCATTTTTATGCATGAAATACAGATAAAAATGTTTTTAAAAAAGATATTGTTTTGGCGATCAAAAACGGATTAATCAATTATATATTGTTTTTTATGATAAAATTTGTTTCGGTTTTCGAACAACTTTTAGTTCGAAAACCGAGGTTTAACTGTATTTATATTTCGATTAAAAATTTCAAATTTTTCAAACAATATATATAAATTTTGTTGAGAATTTTATTTACCTTATTTATGCCAATTATAATAAATTTTCTCAATCTGTCTATATAAAATAATTCGAAAATTGTTACCGTGATTGTTAGTTAAGCATTCTCAGAAATGTATTATCTAATTTTAACGTACCGTACATCTATGAGATATTTAATATTAACTAATGCTAATGTTTATTTACGCGCTCGTTCCAACAATATTGAATTCCTGCGTGAATCATAATCGCATTGCAAATGAAAATCAAAAAATATACATCATATAAATATCAAAATCAATTTTATTTGTTGACATTTTTAAATATATACATTTCTTTTAAAATTCATCTGTATAGAAATATTATACAGTATAGTTAAAATAAATATATTTAAACATTAATAAAAAGTTTTATAATTTTCCATAGATTAGTTAATATATCATATTAATTACATTACATTTTATATGTCATATTAACTTAAACTTGAGTTTTAATAGCTTCTTTTAATCTGTTCCAAAATAAAAGATTACTTTCTTTTTTACGAGGCCATTCTAGATATGTTCTAGTTTTAAGTAGATATGGAATGGGATTTTTAATTAGATCTTTGTTAAGTTTTTCCATTTTTATTAGGATCAAATCGTCTCTTTTGTTCTCAAATAATCTATGTTGAGCTAAATGTATTTCAAGCATGCACCATTCACTCTTCATAAAATGGTTAGATAGTAACACTACTATTTTACGACTTTTATCAATACTATCAATAATATTTTGGGTAACATTTCTGCCTGCAAGAAAATCTCGATCGTGTATACAAAGTTTTAATCCAAATTCTTCTGATTCCAGATGAGGTACCAATTGTTCAAATACCCATTTCGTTTCTGTCACACAATACGCTATAAATGCATCATATTCAAATTGCAATAAGTTTTCTTCCTGCCTAAAATTGCAGAATGCCTTTTTAAAATGAAACAGAAAGTAACGAAGATACCAACGATAGTAATACATAACTATACTTAATATTGATATAAAACACAAAACAGTTATCACTAATGCAAAGATTATTACCGTTGTATCCGTATCAAAATCCAAACAATCTTCATATTTAGAATTAAGATCTTTCACCTTTTTGCCAGTTAATTCTATAGGAAGAGAACAAATAAAAAGGTCGGAATCTCTATAATCGGTGGCATTCAGCCACGTATGCAAATAATAAAGATTGCAGGACGAACAGTAAAATGAATTAGAAGATAAATTAACATAATCGATTTTTAATAAAATCTCAAGAATTTCTTTAGAAAAGAAGCTTATATAATTAGAAGACAAATCAAAACTATGCAGCAGAGAAAAATCTGTTAAATCTTCGGAAAATTCTTTGATTTGATTATTTCTTAAATTTAAATATTTTAGACGGGGATATGACAAATTATATCGAAAATTTAATGCCATGTTAATAGATCGTGCGGGTATGTCTACAAAATGATTATTACTTAAATTGAGATATTGAAGAGAATACAAAGTTGCAAAGATATCTTCAGGAAGAGTTTCCAAGTTGTTGTTATCCAAATCAAGGGAAATGAGAGCGATTAAGTTATGAAATGTTCCTTCGGGTATGAAAGTCAGACTGCAATGATCAAGAAAGAGATACTGTAAATGTGGAAAAGAATCAAAGGATCCTTTTCCTAATTCCACTACATGGTTTCCGGAAAGTCTAAGTATTTTCAAATAAGATGGTAACGATGTCAGAGAACGTGGTGATAAAGAAAACTTTTTATTATTAGGTTTATTTTCTTCTAAATTTAAGTACGTCAAATTTACAAAGTGAGATTCATAAAATATTTTGGGTATTGCATTTAATTTATTTTTACTGAAGTCTACTACTTTTAAACCAGTAATATAATCTAATGCATGGTTCTCAATAAATTTAATTTTACCTCCTGTCATATTCAACACCTGTAATCTAGGAATAGAAGGAAAAGCATAGTTTTTTATAAACGCAATATTATTTTGTGGAAATTCCAGTTTAATTATAGTGAAATTGCTTATTAAGTTAAGGTCTAAATCTATAACCGCATCCTTGAAATAAAGACTCATTTCTGTAAATGTTGATTTATTGAGATGATATTTCTGTTTCAGCTGATTACTGACAGTATCTACCATTTCCCAACTTTGATTTTCCTCATCCCAAATGTTAGAGAATATCTTGTCTAAGTATATTTTAAAAATTAACTTGCACGTTGTATTCGGAATATTGTAAGTAAGAAAAGTTTGAAAATTCGGAAGAGTTTCATTACAAATGTAAGCTATTTCAACGGATTCATCCAATATCCCTTTTTCATACTTCAGATGAATTTCGACTCGATACATATATTTAAATAATGATTTCAACGTGTTCATTAATGGAAATTTTATATCATGTTTATGATTTTCTTTTGTTGAAAATTTCTGCATTATAAAATTTGTATACCATAAAATAATATTGTTACTGGCATTATAAACTGATTCATCACTTTCAAGTGTAAATATCAGTCCAATCGTATCCTGTTCACTAATGTCAAATGGAAATGTATCTTCAACAAAATCGTAAATTTTGCATGATATTTGAAGATGGTTTCTATAATCTAATGAAGAATTACAATATTCATTCAGCAAAATGTCATTAACTGTAGAATTTTTTACATTTATTTCCGAAGCGTAAATAATCCGTAAAGCATAGATGAATGAAACGATGATCCATGATACCAATGACATATCTGAAAAATATATTAATTGGTATATTGAAGATTAAATTATATTCATTTTAATTAATCAATAAAAGGAAACGTTATTATTAATCTAAATAGTATGAAATATTCTATTATAGAACCCATAATTTTTATAGAATATAAAAAAGTTCATTTAAGACCGATGCTAACGAAAGCAAAATTAAAATAACAATGATCATCAACGACACCAGTTCTACATTTAAGGTGAAAACAGAAGAAATCATTGATTCGTCATAATTTTGACGCCCATGTGTATCTATCTCTGAAAAAAGATAATAAAATTAAAGACCTTTGTGATTGAAAAATCTAAAATTTCATATACAGTACTTTGCTAAGTAATAAACTTTCTTCCATCATGATCTATTTTATTTTATTTAAAAAGTGTTGCCTATTTCAGTTCAAGTGTCTATAATTATAAGGCCCGTCAGTGGCCGCGCGGTCTTCGTACCCTAAACACTGGGAGTTCTGTCGTGGGTTCAAGACTCGCTCGGATAGGATGGTCACGTGGAGTTTTCCGGGCTTTATCCACGTCTATAACGCCTAAATAGAGACCGCCACAAACTAGAAAATATCGAAGCAAATTACATCGATCATCTTTCTATATCTGGTCTCGATTTTCATTTATTTAACCCTCGGTTACGCGCGCGGGGTTATATAGAACCCCCGGCGTGTTTAAACGCGTGTATTTTTTAAAATTTTTTGTGTTTAAAAATGATGCCCTCAGTACCTTCCTTCCATAGTGTAAAGATTGCACCGAAAAAATTTCAATTTTGCACGAAAATAATTTTTTGCATAGACTTATAATGGAAATCAGTCGGGTGCTATAGTACCCCGCGCGCCTAACGGTGTAATTTTTTTTCGCGCGACTAACGGAGGTGGGTCGATCTGACTTCGTGTTTTGAGGGAAAGCTTATTGGTTGATATAGAGTCAGTCATGATAGAAATGACCAATTAGAGCATAAAAGGCGTAAAAACAAAATTTTTAAAGCCAATAAACGGCAAAAAAGTTTCCCATAGACTTAACATTGTCAGTTTGAAAGGTGGCGTTTTTTGGCGATATTTATTGCTAAATGGTGTTGAAAACATGTTTATTCGTCTAAATAATTTCAAGCGACTTATTATTAGCAAATTAGAAGTGGAAAAAAAGATTAAAACAC